TACAGTGCAACCTTAATATAACGACTTACTTAATTTAACAAATTATTCGTAATCTAGAATTTTCATGAGAGAATGTAAAATATACCTTTACATTGCGAATATTTTTGCGAACAACCTCTTTATAACAAATTTTTAACTATCAAAAAAAGTGTGAATACCTCTAAATAACGAAATTTGTCAACCAAAAACCTCTATATAACGTTTCCATCAATTTATGGCCCTTAATCCCATAGTACGTGATTTATGTCACGACAGGAAACTATTTTTTACATCTTTATAACAAATTTTAGACCAACCTTACCTAAGTTGAACGCACCATCAGCACGTTATAGTTACGTCAAGATACGCCCTCTGGGCACGTTACATTTACATTAACTCGATATCAATTTAGTTAGGGCCTAACCACAAGAAGTTGGCGCTGCACGTTACGTGAAAGAGCGCAACATCAGAAATGGTACCAGACCTAAATGGTTTTGCGGCGTTGCCGTGCATTTGTTGCAACGCGGTACCGTACCGTGTATCTGCTTAACACGGCAAAGCACTGATATCTTCACGACGCGTGTCGCCCAACCTCACTACCATCGCGCCTTTTTCGGATCCAGTTGTATTTTTTTTAATGGGAATACCTAGCTATTCAAAACACTCGCCGTGGTACAGGCTTAATGACGTCACGGCGTAATTGAAGGGGCTCGAGGTGTTTAGTCACCTCCTCATCGCCTGTGATGCGGATCACGCGCCGCTGTAACCTATCCGAAGCATCGAGCAAGTAAGTTTAAAGTATATGATTCAGGGTGGGATCTTCAGGAAAATAGGTTCAGTTGTTCAGTGGGTTTCGTTACACATGGATAGAATAGAAATATATAAACATACACCGTGGGTGCAAAGCAAAATTAAACTTCGTAATAAATAACGGCAAAGAAATACGGAATACAAATTTGACGACGTCCGTGGCCGATTGGGTATGTACGCTACCAATCACCGAATGTGGGCTCTCGGATGAAACGCCTCAATAACCATATTACTGTATCTGACAAATTTAAATAATTTTGAAGTTTATTTGTAGTACTACCTAAAAAAGCTCTGCTGAGTGACTATAAACAAGGAAAATCCAATCAGTAAGTAGGTCCAGGGCAGATTGATGGGTAGACGCGGAAGAATCCCTAAACGGGGACCCCGCGGCTTCGCATTAAGCAGCGTAGAGGGTATTCGTAGGGTTTTTTAGCGGAGGATATTATACCGTAAATCACCCGTAAGAGTTATGGGCTCCTCAGTGGGGCTCGTAAGCAGTGGCGGCGCTAGACCACATGTGGACGTCGGCGACATCAAGTTCGCGAGGCCTATTTTACTTCGCAGTAAAAAACAGTTAAATTAAGTGAGCCAAATTATAAAATAACGTATGAGTAAACGAGTTTTATTGTTGATAATCAAATGTTGACAAAAAATAATTACAAACATAGAAAGGACATTGCTCGTTCCCCATACATTGAATGCCCTACAACGCCCAGCAATGAGAAAATGCTAGTTGTGTTCGGAATCATTCATAAACTCTAAATAAGCATTTGTTGAGATACGGACAACTTGAGGAACCGTGGCCTATAGAATATACTAGATTTTGAGGTTATAATTATTATACTTAATCGTAAAAGATGTACACTTTATATATTCTGAATAGATTTAGTGTTTACCTCTATGTAAGCACTTAAATAATATGCATTAAATGAACATAAAATGCAAATAATAATAAAAATAATAAATGCTTATATTCATATTGATTTATGAGTGTTGTCAGTTGGCACCTATGATACCTATACCTACCTGTTTTTCCATTTACCTGTTTCTATATTTTACTATCGGTAATTAGGTATGTACCTGGTTATCATTATAATTTTCATAAAAATAAACAGATACTATATGGGATGGGAGTATAAACTATCTTTAGATAATTTCAGAAATAATCTTTTTATAAATATAATATAAATACTAGTAATAAGTATTATTAACTAAGGTACCTAGTTCTATTTTTATGTTGATAAATAAATACCTATGGTCGCCTATATTGCATTACTAAGGTAAACAATCTTGGCACAACTTTTTAACAGAATCACCCATTTAATAATAAAATATTAACGAAGCCAATAAACTATTAAAATAAATCGTTATTATACACTGAAACCTATTGAATCCAGTTATCAGTTGATTTTTAGTGCTGTATTTTCAATAAAAAGGAGTACCAAGTTGGATGAACAGACTGTAGTATCTAGTAACAGAACTTTTATTTTTTATTTTTTTAAACAGATTGTCCGTTTACTATGATTAATTGCTAATAAGTTAAAAAAATAATAGAAAAATAATAGTGAAGGACATTCTTTTGGGCATGCTAGGGCCGATTTCGTCGATGTCCTTTAATTTCAAAAAAAGTGTTGCCAGACAGACGATTCTGAATACCTGTAAAGTACTACTCGCTTCCATCACGCAGGTGTTCGAAAATAATAAAAGTCATTATCATCTACTTAGTATTTTCCCCGAATTGTTCGGGGTTGGCTACCTAAGCCAGGGGGCCAATCGCCTAAAGGAAATGCTTTGGGAAACGCTAACGCTTACGATTTTATATTGTTATTTCTAGCCGCCTGAGGTTTGCGAATACCTCACGCTCAGTTTTTTTAATATTGTTATTACCTACCAATGCAAAAGAAAAAGAAAGAGCGCGAGGCATTTGAATACCTCAGGCGGCTAGAAATAACAAAATAAAATCGTAAGCGTTAGCGTTTTCCAAAGCATTTCCGTTAGGCGATTGGCCCCCAGGCCAGGAGAAACGAAAATAAATAGGTAACTTGTAAACATTTTTTGCGAGGCCCGCTCAGGCGCGAGGCCGTCGGCGGTGGCCGACGTCGCCGACGCCTAGCGCCGCCACTGCTCGTAAGTCTTGCGGGAGCCAGGTGTGAGGTCCGTTCGGCGGTGTGCCTTTTAAAGGTGCCGTCTTCTGTAAACAGGGGTTTTGCCTGCGTTAAAAAAAAGGGCAGATTGATGGGTGCTACAGTATTTACAATGCATAGTAAATTTTCTACGCTCGTTGCTATCTTCACAACTGCCATAAAGCTTGAATACCTGTTCCGGATACCTTGTACCGCTCTACATAATTAAAAGATAGGGACTCCATTTCTCTTCGTATTTTATTTTTATTGCGCTATACTGGTGTAATTGTGGTGCATGACCACAACTCGCTTTAGTCACAGTTGGAAATTCAAACACGCAGCATGTGCACTCAATATAACAATATTGCGTATATTCTGTGTTATAAAGATAAAACAATGCCTTCGATGTTAATAAAAAGGACACAAATAGTTCAAAATCAAATGCCACGGCAACACTTTGCATTACTAAAACTGTAAAAACTTCTTTCTCAAAAATCACGGTTTTTCGTGAATGTTATTTACGTAATCACCATTTGTTATCAAGAAAAGGATAACAATACAGCTTAGCCGTGCGGACTCGCTGTTTCGCTCGCGCTTCGTTGAAGCGAACAGTACACTTAGCACGATTCAATATCGAATTCGTAACGTTTGCGAATACGAAATGTCATTGTCAAATGTGTACTGATTTTTGGTTCTCGTTACGTCCGTTATGGCTCTGTTGCTCAAGTTTCCATACAAAATTTGACAATGACATTTCGAACTTGCAAACTATTCGAATACGATAATGGTTCGTGCTAAGGGTACAGTACCCCTAGCACGATTCAATATCGAATTCGTAACGTTTGCGAATACGAAATGTCATTGTCAAATGTGTACTGATTTTTGGTTCTCGTTACATACTTTGTGCCGCTGCTGTTCAAGTTTCCATAAAAAAATTGACATTGACATTTCGGTTTGCAAACTATTCGAATTCGATAATGGTTCGTGCTAGCTGTACAGTTCTGTCTCGCTCGCTCGATTGACTGTTTATTTACAGACGTGTGCGTGTGTGAGATTTGCTTAAGTAGTTGAGTCGGATCATATTTTATTTGATACTAGTAGGTATGAGCGTACCGTATCTTCCCTTTTTGTTGTAATCTAAGCCCGTAAAGGTAAATGTTTGGTTTTCCGTTATTCCTTTCATTTCATAGTTAGAAAATCATAGATTATTTTATTACATTGAAGATTTTTTCTCTCTTTTACTTTGAAGAGAAAGATCTTTGAAGTGAATCGAATTAATGGGAAAAAAACTGAGTTTTCACATTGCTAGTTACTAAACGCCTCAGATTACAGAACAAAATGTAGATAGAGCGCGCGGAATATGCAATGCGTGGCACTTAAGCAAATACAAATCAAAAGTAAATACTTTTTTGTCTTTGTGAACAGTTTTTAAAATGTTTCAACAAGGCCGCAGTTTTGATTAAAACTTAGTATTCACGGGACGTATTCACAACACGATGCGTTGTAGTGTATTGACGTAAATTGATATTCGCTTCTGATTTTGTATTTGCTATGGTGATTTTGCAGTTCTTATTGTGCTCAATACACTCAAATATATTGAGGAAGAGTCAGGTGGATCACGGGTAAAAATTATTTCCCGTGGTTCTACCAGGTGAACTACGGGGGGGGGGGGGGGATACTTGTGGTCCACCTGGTGAACCACTGGAAATAAATAATCCCCATGGTCCACCTGGGTGGACTACGAGGTGGACCACGGGAAACAAAGGCTCTCATTCCCTATTTTATCCCCTTGGGGGTAGAATTGATCAAAATCCTTCCTAAGCGGATGTCTACGTCATAACATCTACCTGTATGCCAGCCCGATCCGTCCAGTGGTTTGGGCTGTGCGTTGATAGATCACTATGTCAGTCAGTCAGTGACCTATGAGTTTTATATATATAGAAGATATAGATAAAAGGTACCTCGTGGCCAAAAGTAAAGTTTTTATTTATATATCTATCAAAGGCAACTTTTTGTCGCAAAAATTGAACTTAAAGAATATGAAACAGGACAAGGAATTTAGTGCAAAGTATCAATAAAACAATGGAATTAGTAATTAGTCCACGTTTATTCATTAAATACAAATATAGTCATACCAATCGTAAGATGCCCCAAGACTACAAAAAAAAAGATAAATTTAGTTGCATAGTGCGAATAAAATCTTAAAACACATCAACAAATGAATACCTTTATCGTGACAAGAATCACTTATAATAAAATCAAATCATTCAAGTGTAGGTAGGTACTCTAAACAAACAATTTGATTAGTACTTTTATTTGGTTTCTATGTATAGACATCGTTATAAATATAATATAAGATTACTTACGTACTACATTACACGAGTAAGATGTATAAAAAATTACACAAAAGCTATATTATCATGTATAATATAATAAACATTTATTAAATTTAGTCATAAAGTGAATACATTGTTCATTACAGTTATAATAATATTATAATCTATAGTTGCATTAAGACACTTCGCAGCACTAAATTTCTGATGTAGCAACACTTTTTAAGTACGATCGATCGAATAGTTGCCATTGTAAAGCAGATTTTTCCAGAGATCTTGGTTATTATCATTTATTTTTTTATTTTGGTAAACTTTAAAATTCTAATATCGTGTCAAATGTATTAAATATAGTAGCTTCTTACATTGTAAATACACATTAATATTTTATGATTTACTCACTAACATCTAAATCTATTAGAATTGGTGTTCATTTACCTTCAGTGGACGTTTCGCTTCCGCGGGCAACACTATACATTAAAAAATAAATTGAAAAATAATGGGTACTGCAAATTGCAATTGGCAAGCTGCAAAGTATAAGGCACTTTATACATTCATGAATAAATTCTATATTACAATGTTCTGCTTATTTTTTTTTTCAATCTACCCTCCTTTTTTTTCACGCTACTCGAGTTGCTGTCACCTTTACAATAGAGCTACAAAAAAAAAAAGAATATTTTCTTTTATTTATTTCTAAATTTTACCACCAAACCTTAGTTAGATCATAAGCTGTCAATGTGCCAGAATTATTAATAATAATATTAATAGTTATTAAACTACAGCGAGTCGAATCTTCGTCACCTCCGATTTTATAATATAAGAGTAATAAATAAATGGAAATTAAATATGAGAGTATAGAGGTATCAGAGATGTCGAAAATCAGTTATAAAGTAAAAATTGCTTCAGCAAATTGGAAATCAATTTTTACTTGGTTATTCCAATTGTTTAAGTTTAAACATTTAGTACAATTAGATAAATATAGATAATTTCAATACAAGAAAAATAGACACACATTAATTGTTAATCATTTTTAGTTTGAAAGAAATTGCACCAAAAATCACTACACATCAAACAGTTAAAGAGACATTTATGTACAACAACAAAATATTTCGTAAATGGCTTTACACAATGGCACGTATTTTCATTACAACATCACCCGAAGTAAATGCAAACTTATTTCATATTTTGAATCGTAAATTCCGTAACTATGTTAAATGTATACTTATAAAATATGGATACATATTCTTATATGTTACCAATCTATCTCCTTTATTATCTGTTGCTCCGGCACTTCACATGGCTATTCGTATTTGCTATTTGTAAACTTGGCAAGTCTGTCCTTATCATGCTTTATAAGGAATGAAAAGGACAGACTGATGTCAAGTTTACAAGTTGTAAACACGAATAAATAGCGCAGTTGAGTGCCGGATTCAAGATTATCGTCACGTTTGGCATCATAAGTATGAAATATATATTTACTATATCCAATCGCGATGTATATTTTTTTCATTTGTATATTAAGAGCTATATTTTTTACGTTCATTTAAACTTAAAAGTATGAATTCTGTTTTTCGTCCACCACTCACCGCTATGTTAGACGAACAAGAATTACTTTTTTTATGGCAAAAGCTACACCGTCATCAATAAGTTGTAATCCGTCAATATTTACAATCAATATAAATATTGAACATACAACTTTATAGTTTAAAAATCTTACTATGAAAACTTTTTAGGTAATGTGGTACCTATATATCTCAAATACCTTTTTTACTTTTTTTTTGTTTTTGTTCTACGACGTTCCTTTCATTAGCTGTCATAGATTGAATAAAATTTCAAAATTCACTTTTCTAGTTATTTCACATCGAAGGCACAAGTTTAAATAATATAAATAAACATTCTTATATGGCACGTTCGGTATATTTATTAAAAAAGTTACTGGTTGCAAACACCCGAATTCAATATTCTTATTTCTGCGTTTGAATGAACGATTATGAAATATTTTTTCTATAAAATTACAAAACAAGGTATTACTGCAAAAAAAATGGAATAAACAACTGGGACAAACGACAAAGACATTTTCTGACGCTCTCTCGAGTATATCATGGCGCGTATAACACTTGGCTATTCGTATTCGCTTACACTTGGCTATTTGTATTTGGTATTTGTAAACATGACAACAGTCTGTCCTTATTATACTTTTTAAGGAATGAAAAGGTCAGACTGCTGGCAAGTTTGCAAATAGCAAACACTTTAATATATAACAAATTGAAGAGCGCGCATGAAATTCCCGTACGCTTGTGTATTAGGTATTATGTCGTCAATATGGAGCTGTTGACTATTCTATATCTAAATATATTATCTTTTATTTATCTAAATCTAGGAATAAAATAACGAAATTCCATTAATTATCATATCATTGAAAAAAAAATGTGTTTGCAACCAAAAACGAATTCCCACACCTTAAGTTTTTCAACAAGTTTTAGAAATATATTTATTTTATAATTATAAAAAGGCCCCAAGAATAAGGTTCCCGCGTGGGGATAGCACTTTGTGACTCATCGAGATTTAAAAAAAAATGCCAAACTATTTTTTGTTGTTGTAAAAAAATATAATTTTATTCCAATAATGTTTCCTATGTAAATTCAAAGGCAAGACTTGGGGAAGTATAGAAATACAATCTTCAAAACACGTTTTGTACCTTAAAATAAAGTTTTTAATTCAAAGCACTCCTATAGGAATTGCGAATTTTTAAAACTAAGTCCTTAAAATACAAACATGATCCAAAATATCAATTTTAATACAAAAATTGGAAAAATAGACACTGAAAACAGAATTCATTTACGATTCTGTGTTTTAAAAAGTTGAGAATTAAATATGAAACTTGGAAAAGTTAAAAGAAACCCATATAAGACAAAAAAAAAGTTTGGCATTCTTGATAACAACAGCGAAGCCATGATATTGCATATTTTATATTTCACTGTCAAGATTATAAAGTTAAAAGTCCTGACCTACAGCATAATTTAGCTTGCACAGTGAAACTATGCTATAAAAACAAAATGTAGCTATCTCTCTTACACTCCTTCTCTTTCTTTGCAAATAAATTTTGTAACCAAGCAAAACCATGGCTTACAGTTTTATTCAAATCTCGATATAATAACAACGTATTTAGTTTAGTTTTGAAACGAAACCGTTACCTTAACGTTTTGTCTAAATCACTAAAATGAAATTTGCGATTCTTCGAGACAAAACACCGCGTAAAAAGTCCCAATCTTATTCTTTTAATTAATAAAAGTCATCGTGTATAAACAATCCATAGGGTTCAATTTGCAGCAGCAGATTCGAGAGAAGACGTTGGTTCCTTAAATTGCACAGAATATTGACCTCTAATACCACTTGGTAAGGTGCTAAACTGTTAGAAGAAAGCGGCTTGATTTCCTAACTCACGACATGACTATTTAATACCTTACTGTGTGGGAAATAAAGCTTTCGATCCTATGCAAAATTTGAGTATCAACCTTCACGTGCTTGCTCAGCAAATTTGATTCTAATTACAGATTTCGCCAATCTTCTAGTCCGCTTTGAACACTTAATAATTCGCGCCCCACTAACAAAACACTTATATTGAGGGACGAAGATAGCGGCGTATTTATCCTAAGCCCTAGGGCCAAGAGCCCACATCATCCCCCTCTTAGGGGATGATCCCTGTAGATGAGCTTGTAAGGCCCTTCTAGCCAGTCAGTAAGTGTCTGACATAACCTTGCAGCCGGCTATAGGGAATTTTTATTATTATTCGTTAATAACATTTATTTTTGATTGATTTAGAGTATGGGGGGGGGGGGGCATATAAGTCGTAAATGGCCAGATTTCAAAATACGCAACAAGAAGCAACTTCAGAGTGGACTAGAATTTTGGCGCAATCTATACACGTGTAGGCACTGCTTTATTTCCATTAAATATATAAATTTCTATGTGAATAAAAACATATTTAGCACCGCAGATCATAATCACTAAAAATCTACTCTACAATCAAACATTATTCTTGTGAGTGCACAAGACTTTTCTAAATAAAAAGCAAATATCAAAAAAATATGCTTTTGTTAAAAAAAAAATGTTTTAATACGTAAAACAATTCGAGACTCATCGTGCATACACAAGAATAAACTACTCCTAGCATAAATAATATAAGAAAATCTATGTGCACACTAAAATAAACTCTAATCTTATTACTATAAGACACATTGTACAAACGCACGAAAAATGCAGCTCAAGTCAACACTGACAGCTGTCATGTTGACATTACAAAGCAAGACACGCGGGCCTCATTTCAGACACGAATAGATCAGTCACTTGTAAAGGTTTATCGCATGATAATTATTTGCACAAGTCATTTTATTTTATATTCGAAAATATCTCACGGTACGGTATCTACGGTATGACCATTGACTAGGTAGAACACATTTGCTTTTCCTAATCAAAATAGATTCTTCGACTATCAAAGAATATGTAGTGTTTGGAATTTTCAGACTATTAATTTAACACACGAGAATGACCTTAAACGTGTCTAAATCTTAGCCAACACTGGTGAACAAAGCCAACACAAGTGCCAAACCTTTTAGAAGTTGGCGAACTTCTTGGTGACAGTCGAGCTGGTCTCCGATTTATGTGAACTAGTCATAACTGACTTCCTCTCAATAGTCTCCGAAGTGATAGTCTGTTTGCCAAACTTCTTGTCAATAGTATCAATCTCTCTATTCAAATCGGCGGGCGTTTTCACTCTTGTTACGTTAGTAGAAGACTGGTAATCCGAAGATTGGAAGTCCGAGGGGCGCATGAAGGAGCGACTGGTATCTGAACTCATTTTGGACTCTAAAGTGTTGAAGCGAGAGTCCAAAGTGCTGTACCTAGATTCGTTGTCGAACGATTTCGATAGTTCGTCGATGCCTTCTAGTTTAACGGGCTCGTATTTCGTGTTTGTACTAGTGATGTTTACTGGGGAGGAGCTGTATATTTTTGTGGTGGTGATTTTTTGAGTTCCATTAGGTATATCTTTGACCTCTGTGGTCGTTTCCTCCTTATAATTAGGACCTCCGTAGCTGTATACTTCTTTCCCATAAGGGGAGGATATTCTATCGAATTCGGGCGTTACGGCTTTCACCAAATCCGTGGACGTCCTTGGGTACTCAGGGAACGAATCTAACTTAGATGGGGTTGAAGTTGTAAACGGGGACTTGACTTCAGATCTGGTTTCGAGTTTCGAAAACTCGGTCTTAGGGTAACTCTGATAAGATTCACTTTTGACCGTGAACTCGGAGTGTTTCGTGCCACCCGGTATAGCTTCCGTGGACACTTGGTGTTCAGAGAAGGATTGCCCGACTCCATCAAAAGGAGATTTGGGTGTGGTCGGCTTTTTCAGCGAGGAGTAAATCGGCTCCTGCTTGTCCTCGAATTTCAACTCTCTGGCGTTGAACTTAGGGCTCATCGGCGATGTTTTAGGCGCGTCATAACCGAATTTCTGATCTTTGGTATAATGGCTGGATTCGTATTGTCTATGCTCCTCCTTCTTGTAATCGTGAACTGGGCGTGGCGTGTCGTACAGTCTTGTTTCGTAGCTGAAAATGTTATTTGTTTAGTGAATTACTGTTTATTTTGTCGTTTTTTTATTTTTCATTAAAGTGATATTGTATCGTGTTTAAGTTAGTTAACACCGTACCCCATGCCCATGCGACAGAAGTTATTCAGAGAGGAAAAGTGAAGTTTTAGTGTTCGAGTGTTTAAAAGAATACAAGAGGAAGGAGGTCGTATCTCGGTGGTTTTGTATGATCGAACTACGTGCTCTGTTTGCATTATGGTATGATGGTCGGTGACTGGTCAGTGCGGGTTCGCGTGTTCCACAAACAAGTAATTTATTTACCATGTAGACATTTCAAAATATTAATGAAATAATGTTCAACGTTTAATACCCTTTTTCAATACGAATCATGATATTTTGTGTGCGACATGAAAAATGATACTTGAAAAAATGGCGTTTTTAGCCTTTTGGTTTGATGATTAAACATAATAATGAAATTCAAGATCATATGGCAGAATAACCCACAGATCGTCATCTGTTTAAAACTCATAAGTCCAACACAGATAATATGACATCTCATCTCATACTACCGCGCCTGACTTGGTGGAATGGCCTACCCCCGTGATAATCAAAGCAACGAACCCATCACGAATTTGCTTCCTCATACTTAAGCAGAGAAACGCGTCGAGGCGGCGGCGGAGGCGCTCGTTTGTAGACTATCCTCTCTTCTAGGACCCCGTCGTCTCGAAGTTGGACCCTTCTGTCTATAGGTTGAACCCTGCTGTCTCCAGTTTGGACCCTCCCGTCTACCGGTTGTAACCCGTCGTCAACTAATACAGCTGTGCGCACTTCTGGCAGTTGCAACGACCTCACGACTACGCTTTCTTCCATGCTCGTTCTAAACCCATGCAGGTTAGCGAAGAGAAAATTATTAAGATTAGTTAAAATTAGTAGGCTTTTTACTACTCGAGTAACGCCAAAGCGAGAGCTGACGAGTTAGTTTTGTAGTTAAATACTGCAGTATTATTGTTTTTGGGTTAACTAAACTACTTGACAATATCTAGCGATGATAGTTCAAACTGAAATATTTCAATATTACACTTGAAATAGGCATTGAACCATCATGCAATATACCTTCAAATATATTCATACAACACGGATTTAATTTACCTTAAAGGTTATTTTTAGCATAAAAATTTAATGAAATCCTTGTCGTATCAAAAGTTGTTTTTAGACAAAGACCATAGCAGGTAGCGCAATTTGGAGTAAAAAGCAATAGTTATCAATAGTATAGATAAGACTAGGTGTGTTACAATAAATATTTTATAAAAACTCTTATTGAATTCATTCATTCATTTTACGTCATCTGTAAAGGATTGCCTCACTTAATTCTCATGTTAAAAGCACGACTGACATAGCGACAACTTCCCTTATCCATACTAAGACAACGTGACACATTGCGTTACCACAGGTAATTTAATGTTAAATTAAAGTTTATTATTTTTGGTTAATAAATTTTCAGTGAGTGTATTAAAAACCATCAACTCTCGCAACGTTAATCCAGCTACATAGCAAAACAGTTTGAAGAATCCACAAAATATACAATTACATAGAAACAGAAAACAGCACAATTCATATGTATGTATATGTACAGAACGATAATATGGGCTGATATAGAAACAAAAACAGAAAAAACGCGGCTGGGATATAAATTTACATAATTATGGGAATTCAAGCTTAAAGCTCTCACGACTTACTTATGTTTATTTATCATCGTTCTGTCAGTTTTATGTCTGCAATTGAAATTCGTAATTAAATAACTAAGATTATTGTTTAATTGAGGAAAAACAAAGCGCTATATTGCGTACCGGACTGCGGCGTTTGAAGCTAGCACTTCATGGTTATTCGTTATTGCTTTTTGTGAATTTGTCAGCTGTATATCCTTATCCTGCTTTTAAGAGAATGAGAAGAAAAACTGCTGCTGTCTTCAAATAGCAAATACGAATAGCCTTTGTAAAGTGCCGGCATAAGGCGAATATCGCACTGCAACGTTCATATTATATTTTTACTCATAAAACTGGCGTCCATAAAGAAACGAGTTGCAAAACTAAGTTCTATCTCATACGCTCATCATATCAGGTATAATGTGCGAAAGGGTCAGAATGACTTTTTTTTATGTTATATACATACGAGCTGACGGCTCACCTGATGGTAAGTGACTTATGTAGTCCTTTAAAATTTTCTTTAGATTTAAATTAAATGTTTAAAAAATTAAAAAATATAACTATAATTGCTATTTCTTCTTTCGAATGTTTAATACTTGTAAAGGTATTTATTTGACATAGTGAGTTACCTACAATGCGAAGAGATGGCGCTGCCTTGCAGCCTAAGAAGGCTAGAGAAAATACGACACGGCCATCAGGCCCGCGGTACCATAATGGTCAGTGCATACGCCCGGATAGCGAAGGGTGCAGGTTCGAGTCCCGTCTTCCGAATTATTACTAGTAAATTTTTCTTTATATTTAAACATCTAGCAGTTAAATGCTTAGAAAAAAAATAATGATTATTAAGTCGTTTTCCATAAGTTTCTTCATTGGTATACAAATTTTATTGTTTATATCGCGACATATATCTCAATTTGTGCGTTGCAATGAGTTATCCGTGTACTAAATCGATATTAAATATGCCCCAATTCTGCTAAGGTTACGGTGTGATTTCAACATTTAAACGTCACGGCTTATATGCGAATTTGACCTTTATTATTTCCCGGTGTGATCGATGAAAACTGGGAAAAAATTGCGTATTGGATTGTAGATACTAGAGCATAAAATAACACCATACTCTTTTCTTAGGCTCCGAAATGATTTACAATAGCGTTCAGCTAACTTAATGAAAAAAAAAATTGTTATTACCGGCTACACCTTTGACAAACTAATTATACGGGTTTCAAACATACTGCTATAAAATAATTATTTGAAAATCTTGAAAAATATGCGCTTCTTTCATTCAGCCTAAAAAACAAAGTATTAATTGTTTCTTATTGGTTTCAAATATTGAAAACCCGTATATAGTATTTTGAGTTACTGGTAAAAACAAAATCATGAAACATTTATTCAATTTTATTGTAAGTACATTTTGATTGTTTTCATTACCAAATCTATTTGCTACATCTGTTAAACTATAGACTAATCAAAACATATAGAAAGCCATGCGAATATTTTTAGACAACGACGGTAAAATCTCAGTGTCTTTCATTAATTTAAGACTTATTCATTAAACATTAAGGCATTAGTTTGAAATGAGCAGGAATGACTTTAGACAGAGTATGGTGTCGATTCTGGCATGATTCTCCAAATCTAAACTTAAATTTGACAACAGTGTATCCTTGTCATTCTCCATACAAAATGAAAAGGAGAGACTAGTTTTAAGTTTAGATAATCATGCCAGAATCGGCACCTATATTTAACTAATCCATGACAAAACTTTATATGCGCAGAGTAGATAATACCACATTTCCTTACTACCACAAAAAAGTTAGATATGAATACAACACGAGTTTAACAAAAAAATCGTACAAATTTTTGTCTAAACATGGTTTAAAACAGTGTCTAACTCTTTTGTAGTAAGACCGTCCAAGTCTCCCGATGTTTTCCTTATAATGTTGTTATTTACTGTGTTTATATTTCAAAGATCAAGTGTTAGGTAAATATAAACATGCCCTGACAATTCCGATTCATAGAAATAAGGCATAATATTTTGGTGTAGTATTATCAAACTGTTTTTTTTTCAATTTTTCTTATGATTTTTTTTATACACGTGTAGTAATAATGCATAAATACAGTTCAATAATTTAAGACACGTTATAAATAATTCTATAATTTAAAAATATATTGTAGTACCAAAATTCTCATTTATACTTTCTATAAATCATACAATTAAACCTGTATCAATATACCTCATAAAATCGTTTTATAAACTATATATTTAATGTAGTAAATATACATATAGAAGTATCGTAGGCACAGATCATAAGTGTTGTATGAAGGCACATAATTATAAAAAATAACATTAGATCATCTGCTGTCCAGTGGCGTGCATAAGAGAAAGAAGACACAGATTAGAAGGAGAAAAAACATTGTATAGAATAAAAGGTGTTAATATAAACGAAGCATTAACAGTTATTCAAAAGTTAAATATGAATGTTTCGCCTAACAAGTTAAAGATTTTTCTTTATTCTCATTTTAAGTTTGCAGCTGTGACATTGGTGTCGATTCTGGCGTGATTCTCTAAACTTAAAACTAAATTTAACATCAGTCTCTTATTTTCATTCTGTATAGAGAATGACAAGGATACACTGTTGTGAAATTTAAGTTTAGATTTAGAGAATCATGCCAGAATCGATACCATTATGGGGTTAATTTGAACAGAGGTCTAGGCTCGAATATTGACAGCTCCTGGGGGGCCAAACGCCTAATGGGATTGCTATGGCTATCGCTATCATTTACGATTTTTTTGTTATTTCTGACCGCCGATGGTTCTCAAACGGCCCGCGCTCTTTTTTCCTTTTGTATTGGTAACAATAATATTAAAGAAAATGAGCGCAAGGTATTTGAAAACCTTCGGCGGTCAGCAGTAACAAAAAAAATCGTAAACGATAGTGATAGCCATAGCAATTCCGTTTAAGCGATTGACCCCCTGATCGTATCGTACTGTCAAAGTTTCTCTGAAAACTAAGCAGCGGCCCTCCCGGACGTAAGACCAAACTGGCTGCTTCTATACAAAATTTGACGATGACGATACGATTTCGGAATTGTCAAAGGTTGTGCTATTGGGTCTCAATACAAAGCTAACTTCTGAGCCACAAACTGAAATGTACACACTTACACATATCTAAAGTAAGATTAGTGATACAATATAATAAATTATGTGTAGATATCCCGTTGTTATTACTTTTAAAGAGAACAGAAAAGGTTTTACAATATTTTAAAATTATCTTGAAAGAGCATTTGATTAACTTACTCTCATCGTATAGTAATTTATGTTAGTGATAAAGTTAATATTTTAAGCTTCAGTCATGTATAAGTGGAAACATATTGAGTCATTGAGATTTGCAAGAATTTGAAACTTGCGATCGACGAATGATTTGAACAACGATATTAAATACCCTAGATACACCACGTGCGCTCAAAATGTGTCCCAATCAAGAAGTGCTTGAATATGACTCAAGCACTTCTTGATTCACAGTCACGCATGGACCGTTGAAAAGTCAACATGCTGCTGAGCTCCGTGAACACAGGCCAAAGAAATACATAAAGAATGTAAAATGTCGTTTTTTCTACAGGTATCTAATCAATGTTTGTTAATTTAACGCATTTGAAGTAAATTTTGTTTTAATACTTACTATAAACTGATTTAATAGAAAATATTTGTAATATTCAAATGCATGGTCGATAATATAGCCGTCTCTTTTCCTCGCGGACCGTACTTGCTATATTATCAGTATTGCGTGTACAATCAAAGAAATAAGGTCTTTATTCTTCTGCATATAGCAATAAGTCATAAAATTTTACGAGCTTACATATCGGACTGTCATAACTCTTTGACGCGTGACCTTTAATTAAGACCTTAATACAGTATGCTTTAAAGGTGATTTTCAATGTTTAAATAATCTTATATTGTTTTTGACTACGCGATCATCTTACGGAGCTCCGTGGATCGTCCAATGTACCTTGTGGACAGGTTTCGGGCATGATTTTGTTCGTGTTGGTGTATCTAGGGTATTTAATATCGTTGGATTTGAAGGGTGCTTTTCTTACTCCTTATAAAATTTCAAATATAATAATTGTATCTAAGACAAGATTTATATAATGCGTTGCAGACTTTGTTTTACTTAGATTGCGAAAACTTGTGTTAATAAAAGCAACCTGTGTGGTACACTTAATATTTCAAGTATACCATTAATACTAAAAAAAAACATATTTTATATGGAGTTGAGAAATCTACCCTTACCCCCTTATGAATAAACAAGGAATAAGCTTTGACTAGTTACGCCGTGTTTTGTTCATGTCACTCAAATACCATTTGTCATTGAATAAACAGGGGGTGTATTCCGAAATATACATCAGTATACAGGCCAGTGGTAATGACGTCACTAATCCAACGCCATATTGTACTGGTATGCTACCATATTTTTACCGGGAAAACGGATATGACGTATGACCGAGCGTGCGTGAGATGCATTCCAATTTTTTTTCTTTTTTATTCAAAGAACAATAATGGCATCGGAACAAAAAGAATTCCTTTTAATTAATGTGATAAATAAAAAATCTTCTTTATTCGCACTATTTTTAATATTTCGTCGATTTATGACGTCAGTACACTGGCCAATATATTTCGGAACAATTCACAAGTATACTGGTTTATATTACGGAATACACCCAGGGACAAAAGATGGAGTAACTAATCCATGCATAGTCTTCGTTTATTAATAAGCGGGTTAGACAGTGATAAACAAGAGAAAGCAGTGCGTTTACCCCTTACACAGTATTTCACACACATCAGAATTTTAATAAGATTATTCCAGTTAGTTTTATCTTTTTATCGTCCATTTAGCAGAACAATAACTCCTTTAGCGAGGAAGTAACTAAATTACCAATACTGATAAAATATAAGTTCTTTATCATTCTATAACAAATGATGGTAAAAAAAATCTTGAAAACTGAGTTAGACCATTGATCAAGTGTCTAAAAACAAAGATCATAAAATCTCATTAATTTTTTATTATAAAACTTTTCGACTAGATTCAACAAGATATATAAATCTTTCAATTCGCCAAACGAATTAATCTTATCAACATACTTCTCAAACTAGTTTCGAATCGATAAGACAAAATAAAAGTTATATAATCTTAATAAGGTATTTTCCATTTTTTTTTTAAACTACTGATATTTAAAGAATGGGACAAACGATTTACAAGAAAAATAAATAAATTAATGTTTCTTTTTCTGCATGAGACCAATTAAAGTTGAATTTATTTTAATGGTTTTCAATTTACCGCCGAAACGCTCGGTTCATTGGCTTCTACTGTGTGACATCAACTTTGTGTAAAGAATTTTAATTTAATGACATTAATTAATTAATTTTTATTTTTCTGTTAAATCGTTCGTCCCAATCTTTAAATATAAGCAGTTTAAAAAAAATTAAAAGCACCCTATTATTTTAAAACGAATAAATATCTATCTCGCACTGCCATCTTTTGTTTGTAAACTTTTTAAAATTTTAAAATTACATAAGAGACAAAAAGCGAAATATCCACAATGCTTGAAAATTAAAAAGGCAAAATCTCACCGAGTTGTGAAGCCCTCGTAATTCTGCTTGGGCGTGTCCTCTTGCGGGCGAAAACTCGAGAAAGTGGGACTTTGACCTGTGTATTTCTCTTCCCTTTGATATTGGTATCCGTTACTTTGGCTACCGGGCGTTTGAGACTGGCTATAGTTGCTTTGAGACTGGCTATAGTCGTTTTGAGACTGGCTATAGTTGTTTTGAGACTGGCTATAGTTGCTTTGAGTCTGGTTGTAGTTGTTTTGGCTCTGATTATAGTTGGGTTGTGGGCTATAAGCGTTTGGCGATCCGTGTATCGTTTGTGATAGATTTGACACGTTTTGTGTGACATTGTTCGTGTGCGAGTAAGTGCTGTTAGGCGAATAAGTAGTGTTCGCAAAACTGCTTGTGGGACTCTTGTATCTGTAACAAGTGTTATATCTTATTTATATATATATTTATAAAAAATATAGTAGGCGAAACTACTATATTTTGCTTAAAGCAGACATTTGCCAGTAAATGCTTTCTTAAAGCAAAAACTGAAGTATTAAGGTGTAAAGCAACAAAAATATATTCAATTCAAAAAATAACCACATTTTTTTTTCATGTATATATTTTTAGAGGTAACAGCTACGAAAATACTATATTTGAATACAAAACAGATGGTAACACTATCCACAGACCACCGGTTATGAACCATTGCTCTAGAAAGAGTAAAAACGATGGTGCAGCTAATAAATATACGGTCGCACGATCGCTTTGTCTTACTCACTCTCATCTGCCCAGTTTATTTTACAATTGGACAGAGGAGGCTCAATCTATTCTCTATTTTATTTATTTTTCTCTATGTCTCTGTTAATAATGAGGAGCTCGATGGCGCATGTGGTTAGCGTGTTCGGCTGCGATCCTTGAAGTTAAACAACTTTTGCAGTGGTCGGTCATTGGGTGGGTGACCAAAAATCTTGAATCTCGAGTCCCACCGTGCTTCGGAAGGCACGTTAAGCCATTGATTCCGGCCGCATCTGCAGTCGTTAGCACCCACTAATCCGCACTGGGCCCGCGTGGTGGGTCACGGCCAAATCTCCCTATTCCATCCACAGGGAAGGTCTGTGCACCAGCAGTGGGGACATTAATAGGCTGATGATGAAGATGATATATTCACCTGTGCCCCGGTCCCGGTGTAATTTCCACGTCGGTTTCGTCGCCCGAAGTGTCGGCCGCTCGCAGTTTGTATTTCGCCTGTCGTATGGCGGTTAAACGACTTCTGGCCTCATCCAGCTCTTTCTCGATACGAAGAACCTCAGATCTGGTGGAAGATTTTACCAAATAAGTGTGGTGCTTAAGTAAAATAATAAGACATTGCGATCTAGTGAGAACATTCTAGGATTCTAAATACACTAGATAAATAAATAATAAATAAATATTGCCAACACACACACCAATTAGCCTAGCCCCAAAGAAAGCACTGTAAGGCTTGTGTTATGGGATATTAGAGTAACGGATAGAATACATATACTGTACATATATAAGTATATTTTTATAGAAATACATATTAAACTTCCACGACTGGAGTACAAATGCTCATATTCATCACACAAACATCTGCCCCCACCGGGATTCGAACCTGGGACTTCTCGAGTCGGCGACACCATGAAACCCGGCGTAAAAACCACTCGGCCACGGAGGTCGTCGAAACATAAAATTTGACATTTCGGCTGTCAGGATCTAGACATTGAGGCATTATTTTATAATCCGATCAAATCTATATAATACGTTACCTAGCGTCAATCTCTTGCGCTATCCCTCCAACCATTCTTCTGTTGAGCACGAGACTGCGTTCCTCCTCGCAATGGATAGCGTCACGGGCCGCCCTTACTAAACCGTCAGTGGAACGTATGACAGCGGCGCCGGCCGCTTGCAATCGTACCGTGGATTCCGACGTAGGGTCCGCTTTCACCTGATATAAATATATTTTTGAAAAATAGTCGTCAGCACCCACCAACCCGCACTGGGCCCGCGTGGTGGGTCATGGCCCATTCTCCCTATTCCATCCATAGGGAAAGCCTGTGCCCCAGCAGTGGGGACATTAATAGGCTGAATATTATAAAAAAAAATAGAATGGCAATAGGGTCAGTTACATGACAACAATGGTATTATATTATAATTTTTATTTTTAAACATGAAACTGCTCGAAGATTGAATCTACAGAAAATATTATTAGGAAAAAATTCCACGCGGTCCTGGCATCACTTGCCATTGTTGGTTAGCTACAGTGCAAAGAGATGGCGCTACCATGCAGCTTAAGAAAGGCTAGAAAGAATTGGACACGGCCATCAGGGCTGCGGTAGCTTAATAGTCAGTGTATTCACCCGGATAGCGAAGGGTGCGGGATCGAGTCCCGTCTGCTGCCTGGTTCGCGTGAATTTATTTCTACTTATATTTTCTTTAGATCTACCTGTTGTTATGTTATTTTCTTATGAATGTGCTTATTGTATTATATTCGTAATATAGGTAATTAATTGCATCTGAAATTACTAAAATTGTCACTAACAACTTGGGTCGAGGTAATCTTAAAAAATTAAATTATTTTTATTATCAAGTCATTCTTAAGTTTCCCTATCTATCTATTTATATACATTACCTTGCAAGCCACGAGCAGATGAGCAGTCGAAGCGGCAACTTGTCTAGCGCTAGATATGAGCCTCTCTTCAGTGGCCGCCCCTTGTACTAGGGCATTGGCCGCTTCCACTAACGCGTGGGCGGCTCCAGCCACGAGACGAGCGGCGGAAACCAAGCCTTCGGACCATTGGCCATCGTCTGAGGACGCGGCCGGCCGACGGGCCACTTTACCCTGAAAATCGACCATAAATTAACACCGGAAAAGTTGCTAAAACACAACAACCTAATTTATTTTAAGGCATCTTGATTATATAAAGAATACAGTTGTTGGCGACTAGCTGGTTAATCATAGTCATTTTAATTATATTCTTTTTGTCATCCTTTTTTTACTGGAATCTTTCAATTTTGCTTTTGCTTGTCATGTTTGTCATTCTTGTTGTTCTTGTTATTGTTCGTATTATATTTTATTTCTACTTGCAAGACTCTCTTTTATTTGCACGTCCACTTATTCGATAATAACAGCTGATTAAAAAGCTAGATATCAATCTCAAGGCGGTGGACACCAAGCCTTCAGACCATTGGCTGTCGTAAATAAAAGCGGCCGGACGACGGGACACTTTCCTTAAGGAATTTACCATGAACCAACCCTTGAAAAGTGCACAAGTGGCGGACCTAATGCCATTAGGCATTCTCTCCCAGTCATATAGCAAGAATCTTAAAAAGCTAGAGCAAAAATAAATCATCAAATTACTTATTAAGAGCCTTTTGATGACAAGAAAACCAAACGAATGAAAAAGTACATAGAAAACACTTTATCACGTCGACTACATACAGGGCACAAAAATGAGACACATTATTGAATACGTCCTCCTAAACAGTCCCTAGAAAATCATCACATCATCATAATCACTTACAGCTCTCTACCCTAGAAATAACTTTATTTTCTAAATACCTGGTCAATCAGCTCCCTTTGTGCTGCAGAAGCGGCGCGGACCAGTGCGGAAGTGGCGGCGATAATAGACTTGGCAGCCTCCAGTATCATCTCGTCAAAGTTCAGGGTTTCGTCCGCCTCCTGTGGGTAGTTTGTTTATTTATTTATTCATCACACTAATATTATAAAGGCGAAAGTTTGTAAGTATGTGAGTGTGTATGTCTGTTTCTTATTTACGTCTAAACGACTAGAGCGATTTTAATAAAATTTTGTATGGAGTTAGCTGACACCCTGGATTAACACATAGGCTACGTTTTACTGCGGGAAAATATCCCTAATAAAACGCGGGGGGTAATACCACGGGGCACAGCTTGTTATTAATAAACACATTTACTGGCTTACAGTTGACTCAAAACGTCAGCAAGCTAACATTCAAATAAAAAAAATTAAACAAGCAACAGCATGTCTAAATCTTTTTTTTTTAATCGACCCATTAAATATAAAATTTCTTTTGAGACATCTTGTATAACCAATACAACCTGTAACTTTGCTATACTGTCTACTTTGATGTACAATAGGGGTGATGACGGGGTACAGTAAACGAAATTCTATTTAGTCCGTCAGTTAGATGATCAAAAAATTCATATTTGTAATCAAAAAGTATTGGACACGTTTTTTTTATATTATGTGGAAAAAGAAAAAATACGTGTCCAATACTTTTTGATAATCTACCTGATAAACGAAGAAAAAAAAATTAGTCATCATCCCTATTATGTTCTTAAATGAATTCGTTTACAGTCAAGTTCGATGAGAAAGATAAATACCGTAGATCAAGTATTTGAAGGTGTTAAAAATGACAAGGTTCATTTTAATTTTAGAGCATCAGAGATTTATTCATCATTCTCTAGTTTATAAATACACAAAAAGTTATGAATGTGTTTTAGAACAAAACTATTTTTATTTCATACTCTTAATTGCATCAAATAGATTAAAACAGTACCCCTAGCACGAACCATTATCGAATTCGAATAGTTTGCAAACCGAAATGTCAATGTCAAATTTTGTATGGAAACTTGAACAGCAGCGGTACAAAGCACGTCACGAGAACTAAAAATTAGAACACATTTGACAATGACACTTCGGACTCGCAAACGATACGAATTCGATATTGGTTCGTGCAAGGGATACAGAAACTCAAATACATAGTAAGCAAAGATGGGCTTATCTGTAAAAGAGATCTTTTCCAGTTAACCTAGATTCCTAGCAAAACAGAAAGTGCAATAACTTTATTGTATATTTTTCTTCTATGTCTGTTTTCTTTTATTGAATTTATCTTGTAGCGGAGTAACCGACGGCAGCGCCTCGACCTCTGTGTAATATGTTTGATTCCCGGGTGATAGGGCAACAACCAAGAATATCAAACATATCTCAGAGGCGCGAGGCATATCTTCTTTTCTGTTATTCTTCTTCCTTCTTCTTTCCATTTGAAGAGAACGTCGTTGTTACTGGACTTACCTATAGTTCATTATTTGCAAATGTCCGTTCAACGGTTGAAAGACGATTGATGATTTTCAAGTAGGGTATACATAAAACTAGTTTTTACGTGTTAACGTACAAAATTTATTTATTTATTGACGTTTCGCAGCCTTTTCAGGTCTGCATCGTCAGAATAATGATTGTTCTGAAAGTTTTATTTAATGAGTGACGTGCGTGAAAACCTAAGAAACAAATAGGGTATACATTTTTTGTGAAGAATCTTATATCAAAATCAACTTTTTATTTTAAATCTTTAAAAAACAAAAATTAAATCTACGGTTTTATTTACCTACCAATTACAAAAGCTTAAAACTACCTAATGCCTAAAAACGTAAAAACTAGAAATAACTAAGAACTTAAATAATATACAATTTACAAAATAAAAAACATATATCACCCCCAGCGCCGCCGTCAGGAATGGTCTGAATGAATGGAATGAATCTTATATTATATTCGAAACCTAAAATCGAAAATGGAGCTGCCATATCGTAGCATGAACCAGTTTAATATTTATTTTTTAAGCATTTAACCGTTTAACCTTTTTCTAGTACCATTTTCTTCAGAGCTAAGCCTCTAGCAGTTATATGTTCGAAAATAAAAATATAAGTACTATTGCTTTTTCTTCTTTCAAATGTTTAATACTTGTAAAGGTATTCATTTAACATTGTGGGTTACCTACAATGCGAAGAGATGGCGCTGCCTTGCAGCCTAAGAAATGCTAGAGAAAATTTGACACTGCCATCAAGGCCGCGGTAGCATAATGGCCAGATTTCCTGGATAGCGAAGGATGCGGGTTCGAGTCCCGTCTGCTGCCTGTTTCGCGTCGATTTTTTACTAGTAAATCTATTTTTAACTTAAGAAATTATTGATAGAAAAATAAATCGAGGAGCTGGCTGGATGAGTGACTATGGAGCAAAAATATTATTTCTATTTAGTGATTTTATAGAATAGTTATAAATAGATTTTACCTTCAGTATAGTAAAATCACTGATGATGTTCATACTAAATACAAATGCCAACCATTGGTACATAATTTTTCATACTGTCAAATAGCCTATTTAGAAAGTTCAATGCTTAAAAAAAACGAGTGTGCTTATGACCACACGACTGAAGTGAAACTTCTTTAGCGCCATCTGTATATATGTATATATATATATTTATAATATATACATGTATGTACATAAACATATTTCATTTACTAGCTATAAGAGAAAGAAAATGTGCGTGCGCACTGCTTTCTCTTGCTTATATCCCCCACTCAACTCCCGTTCTCCTCGCCCGAACACACTTTTCGTAACGCGTAACGCATTCGCCAGCTTACCCCCCAAGTCAAGCGTGCGTAAAGAAGTTTCACTTTAAAATAAAAAAAAAGACAAAATAATCTATTTATTGTGTATTGCGGAACTTACCTTGACAGCCTTCCGTGGTCTAAGGGCATCTAATTTTCTCGCCGCAGCATCTATGGAAGCGGCGGCGCCGAGTAATTCGCTCTCCGCTATAACGGTAGGATCATCCGGGTCTACCCAATCTGACCCTATGGACAATAAGATGCATATAGTATGTTATTCGATATCCAGTAATAAATAAATATTTCCAACACTCATACCAATTAGCCTAGTCCCAAAGTAAGCACTGTAAGGCTTGTGTTATTAGATACTAGGGTAACGGATAGAATACATATATTGTACAAATATAAGTATATTTATATAGAAATACATATGAAACATTACAAATGCTCGTATTCATCACATAAACATCTGCCCCAACCGGGATTCGATCCCAGGACCTCGCTTTTGTTTTCGTTATTACTCCAGCATGTGACACCCAATACGTATACAATGCTTGTGGAATGATTGTTATCTCGGCGCCGTCGGGAATCAACGTATCATATATTTTTGCATCGGCTGTTTGTATGAAGACCTAAGGAGAAGATCTTTCTTCAGGCCGCGCCCCAACCAACAAAATATTGGACCCGCTCTGTATTTAATCGTGTACCTACGAATTCCGCTAGCGCGATGTAGGCCGATGAGACATAGCTCGTTCTCCTTATTCCATCCATTGGTGTGCCTCAGCAGTGAGGACATTAATAGGCTGATGATGATGGAATTTCGAAGATATTTACTTAGTTCCTGTAAAAACTACTTTTAAGAGTTTCGAGTTCGCTATAATCGGTATGAATTTGGTGCTTTCAGCCCGATGACCAATGTTGGTTACGCCATGTATATATGTGCATGTTTCCGAATTCCAATAGCGCGATGTAGGACCTCACATTTCAGCGTTTCAGCTGCGGCTATAATATCGGAGACGGCGTGAGCGACGCGGCGAGATAGTTCAGGGAAGTGTTGTCTATCGCCCGTGCTTACAGCCGATAGCACAGCGGATAAGAAACTCGCGATAGGCTGTTTGTATGAAGATATTTACTCAGTTCCTGTAAAGACTACCTTTAAGAGTTTCGAGTTCGCTATAATCGGTATGAATTGGGTGCTCTCAGCCTGATGACCAATGTCGGTTATCCTATGTATATATGTGCATGTCTCCGAATTTCATTAGCGCGATGTAGGACCTTACCTTTCAGCGTTTCAGCGGCGGCTATAATATCGGCGACGGCGTGAGCGACGCGGCGAGATAGTTCAGGGAAGTGCTGTCTATCGCCCGTGCTTACAGCCAATAGCACAGCGGATAGCAACTCGCGATAGGCTGTGGCCGCGGCTGCACCCGCTTCAATGGTGCGTGTGCGAGTTTCTATGTTCTCAGCTGTGTAGGCTGCGGCCTGATGAAGAAAATATATAGATAAATACGTGTAACAATCGCATTTTTTTATTAATATTAATTTAAAGTTTTTGTAGTTAATTTTGTCTCGCTTAGTATCGTGTGGCAACAGCATCATGCCGAGGCAGGGTCCTGATTAACCATTAGTGCGATTCAAATAAGAATAGGAAAGCCAATGACCTCCATCTGTCAAATGTCGCTTGAAAAGTACGGTTTGCAAAAAAATCCCTTTTTTAACACTTGGCTAATTCTAGAATAAAAACCAAACATTAACAATAACAAATATTGATAATTAATATTGGTTGATTTTTTATTTTATTTATTGAGCTTTGGCTATGATGGTTGAGAACCTAAATCGTCAACCGAATGCCACTTTAAGTTGCGTTCAGAAACTCGACTTAAAACTTTTGTTTACATAAAGGATGCAAGGATGGTTCGTATGTGAACTGGTAATGGTGCATGGCTATTCATAACTATTCCGGCGGTAATGCAGAGATGAGCGGAATTGAAGAGCTAGATTCTGATTAATGTTATTTCTCACAGTCTTAATAAATAAATGTCATTAAAAAGCGGTTGTTTTTTTTTCTTTATCTTAGTAAATAAGTTTTATTAAATAAAAACTTTTTTTGGCTCATTCTACTGATTTGGTTTGAATTGACAGCTCACTCAGCTCGCTCAGGCGTCACAATATGGCGCCCAGACGGTCCTATTCTTAGTTGAATCGCATTATGTTACTAAGTTAGATCCTAATTTCGTTGTCTTGATATTAATGTAAATGTATTTTTGCATTCCTTTTGTAATACTCATGTGAAATGGTTAATAAAAATCTCTCTTTCTCTCTCTCAATTTTGTCAAATGCTGTTTTAATAGGAAATATCCGAAAGAGATTCTTCCTTACCTTGCAAGCTCTCAGCAGATCCAACACTGTTCTTCTTCCAAGATTAGCGGCTGCTGTCAGTTGATCTTGTTTGTTAGCGTTGCCGGCGGCGACAGCTCGAGCCGTGGCCGATGTCATTTGACGAGTGCATCGCACTAATTCTTCCGCTGTGGCCGTGCCTTTGGGCGGAGAGTCTGAGAGGAGAACCTGTTAGGAATGAAGAGTTTCGTTTTGAGTATTATAAGAACTTTGAAAAGGTAAATTTAACTTATTGACGACCTCCGTTAAAAGCAATAAAAATATAAGTATTAATTCTATTTAATTTTGAAGAATATCTGTGTAAACTATTTCGAGTGAAAATAATTAATTAACTGACTCGTAACGTAATTGAGATACACGAACGAACTGAATACGAGCGCTACCTTGTCAATAATCTGGAGCTCTATTTTTTAATCACTCGCCTTGCTTCGAACGCTCCATTTATACTAATTTTGATTCGACATAAGGATTTCATATTTTTGAATCGCTCAACGTCAGTAAGCGGTCTCGACCACTCGTTGCGCGTTGGCGAATGATGGAGGTGAATGGTAGAATAATTGTCAAAATGTCAGATAATTTCAAGATTTTACTCAATCTTTCTAAAATACAGATAAGATGAGGATTTGTTGCAAAGTTTTGATCTTTTCTAACAAAAAAGGCAAAAGATTAAATAACCAAATATTGAGAATTATACGGTTTTTTTTTTCACAGCGGTAATGACTGCTTTTTACCTTTTTCCGTGAAATTAATGAAATATAAATATTTTTATATTAAACTGGTAACACTCTAGATGAACGATTCAAAAATACGGAAAATCACTATGATGGGGCTTGGAAGTCGAAAGTGACTTAAGTCGCATTCGACAATACTATATCAGGCGAGCGAATCAAAAATAAAGCCTGGTGTTTTGTCAAAGTTAGTAATACTGACCTCAATCTCTTGCGATATCGCTTCAATTGTAGACTCGAGAGCTCTTGACCCTCGAGTATGCTCATCTTCGACTGCCTTCACGGTCTTCAGCAGTGACGTGACGTTGGTTACCATCACCTGTAAACACGTGATAGGTCATTATACAAATTCTTTTAAATGCACAAATAATGAAAGAGGCAAAGAAAGGTCGGTGGGCGTATTATAATATAAAATTGAAAGGGTTTTGGAATTTCAATGACTACCACAGGAATTATGTGTTTTACTCCATGAAATCACTACGACAATTTCAAAAATTCGATGTGTGTTATTTATTACGTTGAAATAAAGATAATTTGTTAAAGAGCCCTTATTTTAAAATAAATATGTAGATAACCACCTGAAATTATCTAATAGTAAAGGTTTAATATTTTTCTTTTTAAAACCTGGGGACTAAAATAAAAGAGGTGCGGACCTCTATATTTATGTAGTTTCTAAATTCCCATATATATGAAACACAAATAAAGAGATTTGTAAATATTGTTATGTTTTTTAAACTTTGAATACTTGAATTTAGATTCGGTCATCAAAATACGTCCACTAACCTCCTTTCCATACTAACAATATGACTTTGACATGTCAATAAGGATCACAATCCCTTGATGGTATTCGTTAAAACATCAAAGCTCAGGGTTGCCAACTAAATTAGGCTCCGAATGTAAACTAAATACAAAAAAGAGATAGAGAGATAGAAAAAACCCATGTGTGCGGTCGACAAAAGCGTCATGCCATAGCGGGAAACCCATAAGCTTTCAAATTGTAATGATTCTGTTCTCATAATAATGATGGTTGAAGTATGATGAGAATAAATATATATATATATATATATATAATATGAAGCATCAATAAAATTATCAATAATATGTATACGTCAATATTGGACCTCTAAAGCGGCATTGAAATGAAAGCTTGTGGCTTTGTTACATGGGTGACGAGCGAAAGAAGCTTGCATCACCAATAACCATGAGTGGATTCGAGTCTCTTTTAGATACGTCGGATGTGTTTAGTGGTGTTAGGGTACCATGCCACGCGGACACTGAACATTGATACTAAACACGGTTCTAGCGAGGTATATTTATTTGTTTTGCAGTGATTTGATGGTCCTCGCTGATGTTTTAAAACTTTTGATTTATAAATTAGTTAATTTAAAACTCAAAATAATGTTTCACTATTGATGCTTTGACAACCCTAGAAGAGATATGGGACGTAAAAAATATTTTAGTCGTGATCACTTAATGAATTTTAAACCCTCACAAAAAAGAGTAGTTTTATCTAATCGTCCCATAGTCGGGACAGACTTACACTGAGCGCAAGATAAAGCTATTTACTCGAATATAAGTTTGAAGTTTGGGTTTTTGCCCAAACACAGACTAAATATCAACATCAAATAACATAGATAAGCATTTATAATTAAAGCTTTCAAATTTTAGCAGCCTTTTAACTTGTCACCACTTCGATTTAAAAATATTTTTTATAACTTTCCGTCATATTCTTTTTTGCTTTCTTAAGCATATTTGTATATCTAATCCAACAATTTACCTTCAATTATTCTTTAAAACCCTGACAATACTGAGTAAAAGGAAAATTAATAAAAATGTTTAAAAAGAAATATTTTTAATGCAAGTGAATTTTCAGTTTACTATAATTAAAAAATATCTCAAAAAAATATACTGAGTTTGATTCTAAAACTACTTGGTATAAAGGCAAAGAAATTGATTTCATCAAAACTATGGAAGAAATAAAATCATAAATCCGAAATAAACGATCAATATTTTTACTTAGACCCACGTCATGCGTCACACAAAATGAGCCATTGAAATAGAAATATGACAATCGTATGCTTCCAAATTTAACCAAGAGATTTCATAGATTGTTTTTTTAATAGGGAAAAAAGTTTAAAACATCAGCGCAGCATTAGACAATGAAAAGATCCAGGTGATCCGACAACCAATGAGACAAGCCTTCCACACCATGCCGGTGCAGGGTATAATCTGACCGATTCTCCAGCGCGATTTTCCACCTCCTCCGTTTCTTGGAAACTCTGCCTCTTCACGTCATCTAACATCCTCATATGCTCCTCCAGCCGACTATTCGGACGTCTCACTTTATCTCTATACTGCATCACAGCTCTCATTCTATTTATCTCTTCGTCTGTAGACTCTTCTTTATTCAAAACTGTTTCGTAGAATCTCCACCAGTTATCTATGGAGCCGAATTGCTGTTCCCTATTCTTTAATATATCTTCATAAATTGACCACCAATTGTTAGCATAATACTCCATAGGATAAGTTCTGGTAAGATCGAATATTTCCACATTATTTTTTGATCTCTCGTCTTTTGTCTTGCGTCTTTCTAAAGAGTTACCGTTGAGTATTGTCGTGTTGGAGTAAGAATTTATGTTCTTAGTTAAGTTCTGACTTGTGTGAACGTTTAGTATAACGTTTCTGTGATACGAAGGCGGCGCAGACTGTGTTGCTACATCTCGAACTAGACTAGGCGATCTATTTTCTCTGGGCATTTTGTTTTCTTTGTCTATAATGGTTTCGTGTTTGTACTTTCTTATTATCTCTTTGTAATACTTCTCTAGGAGACACAACTCTTCGTACGTGTATTTAGTAATGTCAATTTGCGAGTAAATATTTATTATGTCTTGTATGTGAACTTTCTTTTTGCGTTTTTCTATGGGCGTATTAGATAAGGCTTTCAATTGCTCTATGAGTGGGTCGAAACCTTTGTATATGAAATCTTTCTTTGCGAATTCTATCAGTTTTAGTACCATGTCTTCATATTTTTTGTCGTACTCTAAGTCTCTCTTTACAGCTTTCGATTTATCGACTTCTTCGATAAACGACTGCAATGTCGCCTTCTCTGTATCGTATTTGTCTTTCTCTGTCTGGTAATCGCCCAATACGAGTTCGTGACCACTAAACCTTTCTAATTCCCGTCTGGTCTCTTCCATCTTTTCAAGGTTTCTTTTAGCCAAGGCCTTCCATAGCTCCGAGTCATCTTGGAACATTTTCCAGAATTCTAATTTGACCTTCTTGGTCTTCGTGTCTGGTTCGACGACAATTTCTGTCGATTCGTCTTTTTGTTTCTGTTCAGGACTCAGAGGAGTGATGTTCGTTTCAGACGCTAAGTCCAAATTGATGGTAAGATTTACTGGTTTAACTTTCTTAATTTTGATAACTGGACTAGTGAGTTTTATATCGTTCAGTTTAGGCTTTTTGGCCGGCACCACTTCGCGTGTAGTCGTCGTCACAGTTGTGGTTACAACACTTTCTTCGATTTCAGAATCCAAGTCCTCTATAACTTGTGAAATTCTTTTCATTTCATTATCTAAATCATTGTTCGCCTTTAATCTAGAGAGCATGGCTCGTTTTCTCTTATTTTCCATCCTATCGGCAATTTCAATAACAATATCGATGAGCTTTCTGAGCTCTCCTAAAAATATATTCTCGCCATATTTGAGAACTCTCCAGTCCATATCTACTAGGCTGTTTCTAGCCGCCATATTGTATCTATCGTTCACATCGTCATCGCAAATTCTAGTGCCAGGGGTTTTCATATGTTTTTCTATGTATGCAACGATTTCTTCACAGTTATCGTGGAATATTGAAGGTGAAACGTCATCGTCTTGGCTAGAATAGTCTAGGAGTTTGAGCAACTCTTCTTCTTGGTCAGATTGGAACAGATCTGTTTCGGAATCTGCTGAATTGTAGTCGATTCTTAGGGAGCGTCGCTTCGGTTTGGTGACGGCGGGGCCTAACGGCAGACTCCACCGTTTGGTTGTCTCGCTCAGCCGCTACAATAATTGCACGATTAAAGTCCAATATTGAACGTAATCACACAGACAATACGATGGATATTTTACATTTATACAGCACGAACGAATGATATATCTGTTGGGGGCAGATAATTAGTGTTAATACTTTTTTTTCAAATAACATAATATTTGGTTTGGGGGATATTTATTAATTTAAAATAAGTATATGTAAGTTAATAAATCTAAAAAATCTTTTATTACAAACGCGTGAATGTGGGAAAGAAAGACATATAATTTGGCAGGCAGTTTTCACCAGATTTCTAACAAAAATAAAAAATTCAAAAATGCTTGAAGTATCCAAATTACCAAAAACGATATTTAAAGTATGCGTATATGAGTTACATAATATTGTTTCCCTGGCTCTGGGGAACCTAACATGTTCAGTCGGCCTGTAATTTATAATGAGTGAAATAATTTGGTGTTTTAACAGTCTATCTAAAGTCTCTGTCAGTCTAATAGTGTGCTCTGTCAGTTTTATAATGTTACGTGTACGGTATTGATGACCCACGAAGTTGTAGGTGTCTGTTATATATCTGTCTAGTGTCTGCTTGTCTTGGCGGTGTTTTAGAACGTGTTCTGGAGTGTATTGCGGTGTCTTTGCATATCTGTCTGTGTGTCATGTGTTTTAGCATGTATTGTGATTGTGTAAACGTGTTTGAGCCACTGTATGTCGGGATACAGATGCAGTGTCATCTTGGTGCGCTTCTAGCATGTATTATGGCTATGTTTATGATCAGTACCCTTACCACGAACCAATATCGAAATCGAATAGTTTGCGAGGGCGAAAGGTAAATGTCAAATTTTGTATGGAAACTTGAACAGTAGCGCCACAAAGTACGTAACGAGAACTTAAAATCCCTACACATTTGACAATGACATTTCGGACTCGGAAACTATTCGAATTCGATAATGGTTCGTGCTAGGGGTACTGTTTGTGTGACTTTAAGGCGTGTAAGATTGTGGTTGTCATGATGGCGTTCTAGGTTGTACTATAGTTGTTTTTGCGTGTGTGTGTGATTGCTATGTAACCTAGCATGTATTGTGCCGGCGAAAATGTATTTATGAGCGTGTTTCATTCCTGTATTTTGTCCTAGCATTCATTCCGATTGTGTTTTCGCGTCTGTTTTTGTGTCTTTAAGTTATGTAAGTGATTTATTTGTTTCTTAGATGTTCACGCCCATCACTCATTATATAAAACAAAATTATTCCGACGACATGTTCCTGTAAAGGACGCTAAAAAACTTGTTTTATTTTATGTAAGTCATTGGTATCGATTCTGGCGTGATTCTCTAAACTTAAAACTAAATTTAACATCAGTCCCTCCTTTTCATTCTGTATAAAGAATGCCAGGGATGCACTGTTGTCATATTTAAGTTTAGCTTTAGAGAATCATGCCAGAATCGACATCTGTGTCTTGTGCAGCACCCTAGCATGTATTGTGGCTATGTTCACGTGTCTGTTTGATGATTTTATTTGTGCTAAACTGTATTGTTGTACTGTCAATGTGTTTACGAGGGTAGTGTGTGTCTACGCGGTAGTGTCTAGTCATCATGGTGGGCTTCTAGAATGCATTGTGATTGTATTTACGCGTCTGTTTGTATATCTTTAAGGTGTGTAAGCGGCTAGTTATCTTGGCAGCTTAGTAAAGTTGAGTTCATGTGTGTATTGTCATGTTTACGCGACTATCTATGTGGCATGTATGCGAGAGTGTACTGTTGTTGTGTTTACGCGTCTGTCTGTGTGTCATGTCTGATATTCTCACCTTGGCGGCGTGTTTGAGTCGCTGCATGTCGGGATGCATATGCGGTTTCCCACTAGCCGCGGTAGTGGCGGCAGCCAAGTCTCTCAAAGCAGCCGCTACGTCTCGAGCGGCGTGCAGTAATAATACTTGAGATTCCGAACTTCCAGCCCCCAACGACATTGCGCCTTGTTTCACGACTTCGCATAGTTGCACTGTACCGAATACCGAAATAATAAATAAAAATAAAATAAATATTTACTACACTCACACCAATTAGCCTAGCCCCAAAGTAAGCACTGTAAGGCTTGTGTTATGGGATACTAGGGTAACGGATAGAATACATATACTGTACATATATAAGTATATTTATATAGAAATACATATTAAACATCCATGACTAGAGTATAAATGCTCGTTTTCATCACACAAACATCTGCCCCCACCGGGATTTGAACCCGGGACCTCTCGAGTTGGCGACACCATGAAACCCGGCGTACAAGCCACGGAGGTCGTCCAGTGAGTGGTCGGAAATTAAGTGAGAATGAATAAATTTACCACTGTTCGTAAAAAGAAAAGTTTCATCATCATCAGCCTATTAATATCCCGATGGCTGGGGCACAGAGCTTCCCTGTGGACGGAACAGGGAGATTGGGCCATGATCCACCATGCGAGCCCAGTGCGGATTGGTGGGTGCTATTGACTGTAGATGCAGCCGGGACCAACGGCTTAACGTGCCTTTCGAAGCACGGAGGAGCTTGCATGCGAGATAGTTAATTTTTGGTCACCCATCCAGTGGCCGACCACTGCGAAAGTTGCTTAACTTCAACGATTGCCGCCAAGCGCGAACCACTTGCGCCATAGAGCTCCCCTATTTGAAAAAATGTTTGGTCACCATAAACTATAAGAACAAAAATTCCGTGAAACTCGTGGAACTCTCGGTTGGAATGAAGTCAGAAATATTTATATAGGAACCACCTACCAATCCGCACTAGGGATGCGTGGTCAGTCATGTCCCTGTATGTCATTCGCATGCCGAAAGAGAGAGTAAAGTTCCCCTTTTAATGATTTTTTATTTTTCGCGTCACTTTTCTCGGTAATGACGTGAACGTGAACCGCAATTTCAAAACAATTACAAATTGTGCCAAAATTAAACCTTTCAAACGATAGAATAGAGACAGCAACCCATCGTCCAGGAGGTAAGTGGGCGCTCCTTTTTCCTGGTATTGGGCCACATAATTTATCCTTTCGGTGTAATCCACCTCAGGTCTGGGCTATTTACACGCACCACACCAGCCGTCTTGAGTATACTTTCGATTGTCATAGAATATAGCACAAATTAACTTACCAATAGTAGTTACAGATGAATTGGCAGCGGATGCCAGTTGTTCCTGTGATCCGGCAGCGCCGCCTACTAAAGTCTTGGTGTCTTCTACTAGAGTCTTGGCCGTTTTGAGTATACTCTCTCGATGGTCGGAGAATGCGTCAGTTTCTTTGTCAGAGTGGAGAGTGCCTGGTGGAAAATGAGAAGTGAGATTTACGATCGACAATATACATCTACACCCTCCTTACACTTAAAAGAAGAATAAGCTAAGAGCTTGGATTAGTTACTCTATGTTTTGTCTCCGTCCATTGATTTACTAAATGACACTTGAGATATGAACAAAACAAGCGTATACCACGATTATTGAAGGCTAGGGTTTTTCATTCCCAACTATCATCATCTTCATCATCAACCTATTAATGTCCCCACTGCTGGGGCACAGGCCTTCCCTATGGACAGGCCATCCTAATAGGGAGATTGGGCCATGACCCTCCATGCGGGCCCAGTGCGGATCGGTGGGTACTAACGACTGCAGATGCAGCCGAGACCAACGGCTTAACGTGCCTTCCGAAGCACGGAGGAGCTCGAGATAGTAAAAATTTTGGTCACCCATCCAATGACCGACCACTGCGAAAGTTGCGCAGCCGCACGCGCTAAGCACTTGCGCCATCGAGATCCTCTTACACATCAAAAACAGTTTAACAGGACTATACTTTTTACTGTTGGGACGACATTAAAGTATATACAATACTGTTTTTTTACTACATTATTATTTTTTAATGTAGGGGCAAACATTTAGGATACAAAATACTGTTTTCAGCTTAAAAAATGCCTAACACTAAGTCAGTGCAGCGTAGTAACAGTAGTAGAGTTTCAGAATGAATCTGCCATTAACAAACAAGTTGTGAAATATGCAAAAAATACATATAAAAGAAATCATTGTTGATTTTTCTAAAATATCATCTCTTACTCAGACCTAAAATATACTTCATTTCATCCTCAAGAACCTACCACTTTTCTGTGATAAAAAGTATGCTATGTCTCAATCCAGGTCATAAACCAAACTTCATCGGTATCCGTTCAGTAGTTTTTGCGTGATTGAGTAACAAACATACACACTTTCACTTTTGTAATATTAGTAGGAAAACGTTAACAACCCCTTTACTCTAATTCATTTTTCTTTGCTGTTTAAGTAATTTGGTTAAATTATAATTTTTATAGCATGTAATTGCTCCATGTTTAAATCTAAAGAAAATATTACTAGAAAACTTGGTCCGTGTGGAATTTTTTGCTTTTTTTTATAATGATTAAATAATTAATAATAATGAATTAAAAAAAAAAAAAAAAATATTATTAATCATTTTTTTCTATTTTTTTTTAATTGGAATTTATTCTATTAATATTTTCTTCAGAATTTGTTATAAAGTAATTTTTTTCTGTTAAAAATAAAAAAAATAGATCTTACCAGCGCTAGCGAAAAGTATAGTTGTGTCCAAATCGCCAATGATAGCTGCTATAGTAGCCGCGGCGTCGATACAAGCTTGAGTTCCACGCGAACCGGCTTGCAAAGCACTCAATACGGCGATTACCTGACAAATAACAATAAATATATAAATAAAATAAAATATATAAACGAATGCCGTAAGAATCATCACTAGACCATACATCATAAGGGCTATAATACCTTCTAGCTCACCAGAAAACCAGCTTTATTTCCGACACATTGAGAGTTAAATAGGCTTTTTGAAAGTATTTCAACGAAAGTGCCAATTGGTAGCATCTGTATATAAGAATGAATATTGGAAGGGATTTTTACTTTTTTTTACAGAAAAAAGATTTTCAAAATTTTATTAAAAACCCACGAAAAAGATAATAGTTTTCTTGTCACGTAACCGAAAACGTCTGCGATTAGCCGATACTAAATGAACGTCACACGCTAGTAAACTTCCGGTCAAAGTGACATTACATTGTATCATTTGATGTTTTAATGACAATCGTGTGACGTCACATATCAGTGAGACGCCATATTATACAGAGAAACGTTTTCGCGGCAACTTGCAAATAGAATTTTTGATTTAGTTTTTCTACTAAAAATACACGACAGAATAATGAAAATCCTTTTTATCGACTTCATAAACATGAGTAAATAATGTGACATAATTTTTTTAAACTTGACAAATACCAAATACCCATGTAATTTTAGTTACTTCTTTATAAGTCATATCATATGAAAACCACCCCTATTCCTTACACCACAAGGTTTCTATTACCTTCTCGCTCACGTCCTTGGCGTGTGAAGCGACAGACTCTTGATGCGGTAAAGAAGGCCCTTGACATGCAGCTGCGGCATTAACCAAACCGCTCATACTATCTCCTAACTCTGCTACTCCGCTACGGATACTGTGTGAAGAGGAAAAACAAATATTTAAATTTAAAGAAATCATTCATCATCAGCTTATTAATGTCCCCACTGCTGGGGCACTGGTCTTCCCTATAGATTGGGCCATGACCCACCACGCTGGCCCAGTGCGGATTGGCGGGTGCTAACGACTGCAGATGCAGCCGGAACCAACGGCTTAACGTGCCTCCCGAAGCACGGAGGATTTCGAGATAATAAATTTCGGTCACCCATCCAATGACCGACCACTGCGAAAATTCCTTAACTTTAACAATCGCAGCCTAACGCGCTAACCACTTGCGCCATCGAGCTTCTCTAGAAAATATTATTAGAAAAAAATCCACGCGGACCAGACAGCGGGCGGGACTCGAACCCGCACCCTTCGCTATCCGGGCGAATGCACTGACCATTATGCTACCGCGGCCCTGATGGCCGTGTAGAATTCCTTCTAGCCTTTCTTAAGCTGCACGGCAGCGCCATCTCTTCGCATTGTAGTTAACCCATTAAAAATATTTATTAAAAAAATAGCTGTCATTATATGAATTAGCTATTTGAAAGTATGAAAAGTAAGGCGATAGGTAGAATAACTGTAACTGTGTGAGCAAAATGGCACTCAAAACCCTGTCGGTGATTGCCCTCCATTGTTTTTCGCGGCCGGAAAAAAAACCGGCCGATTTTCCTCTTGTTATTCGAGTTCTACTGTACATCCAGGCTTCATTTATGTCTTGCTTACGTTTTGTCTATGGTTGAATAGTGTTGCACCGAAAAGTCTATTCAATATTATTTCAATTGATATTAATAATCGAATAGTAAATCGATGAAATAAATGGTTATGGTCACATTTTTTTCAATAATCCTACATATGCAAAATTTATTTATTTGATATTGTTAGGTAATTTATTTTTAAATTTACGTGAAAATAAATACAATTATTCACATTTGTATAATAAACGTTAAAGTTGACTACTGTTGAACGAAATACGAAAACTGAATGCAGGACGTTAAAAAGGATGATACTGTGAGCTCGCTAGCCGACGAACCTAGGTATTCAATAAATCACGCAAACCAATCATTCAAAGAGTTTTATTAAGTAACGAAATATATTTAACTATATTGCCAAACACAGGTAACAGCCAGAGCTAAGTTTTACTGAAAAAATGATTAATGTTACAAATTAAGCCTTATAGATTTTTAACAATTCCTAAGAATATGATAAATACAATTGAATAATTGATTTCGATAAGGCTCTATTAATCGCCAACACTAAACTCAGACTTACCTACTTGTATGTTTCATAGAGGTATAAGAATAGAGTAAGGGAGATATAGACTCTACTACAAGTGGAAGTGTCCCTCTAATAGAAAGAGAAAGAAGATGAGAGACCGCTAGCTTTCTCTCCCTAATCGCGCATGCGCATTGGCAACTGTAAGCATCTTACTATTTCGACGTGATGCCGTTGGATGCCATGCGTCACAAGAAAGAGAGAGAGAGATAGCTAGCGGCCTCTAATCTTCTTTCTATTTCTACTAGACGGACACTTTTAGAGCCGCCTTCCCCACTCTATTCTTATACCTCTATGGTTTGTTTGATTTTCGTCTTAATTCATTTGAAACAGACTATAGATAGATGCGTATGTGAAACTCACCTATTAGCGACATCTGTATTGGGCGTAGTTGCAGCAGCGCCGACGCTGTCTCTAGCAAGTCTCTCGTAAGCGGAACACATTTCCCCGGCGAGGGGGAGCACCCTGCTAGTATCGGTGGCTGCTTTTGCCGTCTGTTGGCAAGGATAAATAAATAAATATTTCTAACAATCACACCAAATTAGCCCAGTAAGGCCTTGTGTTATGGGATACTAGGGCAACGAATAGAATTCATATAATGATACATATATAAATATATACTTATAGAAACATGAACAACCATGTCTTGAGAAGTAATGCTCGTATTCATAATACAAACATTTGCCGGTTGAATCCCGGTAGGGGGATTCGAACTCAGGACCTCTGAGTAGGCTACACCTTAAGAACGCACTCTAGCTGAGAGACATTTAAGAAATAGGTATTTGAAAAAACCTATTGCTTTCACGTATTGGCATATACCGTGCGATAGGGACAACAGTAGCTAACGCTGAAAATTGCGTATAAAAATTGCCAATTTGGAGGTATGGCTCTCGACGACGTCCTCCTCGAAAATTAAATATTTGTATAATATTTTTTACCTATAAGTAGTTATACTAAGCCTCTATGTTTTGATTTTTTTGTAAATGCTTATTGAATCTCCACACTGAGATGTCTTTAGTGGTGATAAAAATTTGATTATTTTAGGTATTTTTGAGGGCTTCTAGTTTCTTTGATACACGAGTTATCGAAAAAAGGAAGACATAGGAGCATAGAATGAGTCAAATTGTATTTTATGTATGAACATAATTTCTTAAGTGATAACAATCACGGAGGAATTAGTCGAGAACGTTTGTATGAAAAGAAAAATGCCCGCCTCCCTTTAAAAAATGTATGTTTAATAAAAAAATAATAAATAGTATATTTATTAAAATAAATTCAACCAATCTATATATATAAAACTCAAATGTGACTGACTGACATAGTGATCTATCAACGCACAGCCCAAACCACTGGACGGATCGGGCTGAAATTTGGCATGCGGGTAGATGTTATGACGTAGGCATCCGCTAAGAAAGGATTTTGATCAATTCTACCCCCAAGGGGATAAAATACCGAAGCGAAGCGAGGGCGGGCCACTAGTTCAACATAATGATGAAAGGGCTCCATCCAGTGGAGTAATTCATTGTAATATACTTGCGTTGGATTAACACCTTTATAGCTGGTTAAAAAAATATAACATAATACACTTACCATATCAGTGGCTAACTTCGCAATCTCCTTTGCGGCGACTATCATTCGCGCCTGGTAGTCTACAAACGAGTCGGTCTCGTCGTATGAACCAATCAAAGACATCCTGAAACAAAGACAAACTGTCAGAGATCGATATTACGTCAGATTCTACACAGGGTAGGGATTTTTTTTCGGATCTTAGTCCGGATGCAGATAATCCTCTGACGTAAACAGAGACTTTGTTTAGTTTTTTTTTTTTTTACTTTATGGTGTTTGTTATGTTTATTTAAATATATATATATATATATATATATATATATATATATAATATACAAATGTATATAAAACTTATATATATAGTTTCTATATATATATATATATATATATATATATATATATATATATATATATGTAATATATATATATAGTTTCCAGGTTCATTCTGGCGAGTTGAATCTTCGGGCATTCCGTTATGAGGTGGAGAATCGTCTCATCCACATCAGGTTTGCATATACAGCATATTGCAGCTATAAGCAGGGTAGGGGATTGGGTGAGGGTAGGCAACGGTAGTAATGGCTTTGGTATTGCAAGCATATTTAAGCTTTGGTGGCCGCTTACCATCAAGCGGGCCAGAAGCTTGATTGTCACCCCTTTAACATACAAAAATTGAATTTTGTTTTTTGGAAACCATCGGAGAAGAATTAACAGTTCAGTTATAACATACAACAACAGGCAAAATGAAAGCCTCATTCTATCCCTATTTGACTTAAATGATTTGTTGGAACGTGTGAAAGTTATTGTGCCACGAAGCTTCACCATTCGTAGCAAGAAGTTCAAATCGCAAATTCCCTTAGTGCATACGAATTATCGATAAAACAGTTATCTCGTACGTTCATGTCACTTATTCAATTCATTAAGTAATAACGCGAACCTGGATATATTTTATGACAGTACTGCGGCGTTGAGGCGAGCACTGGTTACTGAACTATTTTCAAATTACTAATCCAAAAATTTTGTATCAGTGTGGATTCCCCGAGCGGCGTTTTATGAGTTTCTTTCAGAAATTGATAAGCTATATATATATATATTTACATGTGAAAACTTGTTATTGGCTAGTAGTTTACTAAATTAGATACAATGTTTAAATAATAGCTGTAAGTTTTCCGAAGAAATAAAATAAAAATTAAAACGATGGACAAAGGTGGGATTGATATGTGAAACTGGATTCAGCCTTAATTTAAATTAATAATCAAAATTTTATAAAATAAATAGTTAAAATAAATAATTTAAATTTATTTGAATTATAAAAAATATAATTCAACGTAGTGTAGGACAACCGGAGACAAGATGACCCAGCGAACTACGTACCGCCATAAAAATAGAGGCTGGTGGTAGAAGGGTAAAAATTTAGATATGTATGTATTTTTCATGCCACTTTTAAAAAAAACTCCAAAAAATAAAAACAAATGTTTGGGGTGGACAACCCCTATCACTTAGGGGTATGAAAAATAGATAGTAACCGATTCTCAGACCTACTGAATATGCATATAAAATTTCACGAAAATCGGTCAAGCCCTTTCGGAGGAGTATGGTAACTAACATTGTGACACGAGAATTTTATATATAAAATGAAGCTATCTTTCATCATAATTAATGAGTTACCAGAATATTGGCTCCTTCTCAATGTTACCATCACTGGATGCTACTTTTAACCTTCCCTTTTCTATAAACACACAGTTCACTTTATCTATTTTTAAAAGCTTCATATGTCAATTTTTATGAAAAAAAAAACATGCCAAATACATCAAAACCCGGAATGTTTGTATGATAAACCCTTTTTACTTACAAGACACAAATCTCCGCTAATAATTTGCTATTAATACTCATAAATCCAAAATTAAATATTGCACGATTAAATATTATACACAAACGAAACAAAACACACAACAAAAATGTGACATATAAGTTCGCGTCGGCTAAAAGACTGAACGCTTTATGTTGATGTGCGCGCTGTGATTCATGTAGTCAGCTATGTCTGTCACGCTCACACAGGTCACTGTTCGAGTGAGACAAACAGCGGTTTCATAATGCGTACAATACGCTGTGCTTGTGATTCAATATTGATTATAGTTTCATTGCTTTTTATTGAAATTGTATGTAGTCTTCGGTAGAATTTGTTGAATAGGAGCAACTGAGATTTATTAATAATAATAATAATAATTTATTTATTTACTTGAACAACTATATGGTCCATAAAGCGTTAGTAACAATTTCACTTATATACTATGTTAGTAAATGTTTACAATTAAATCACACTCAAAACATAAAAAATAAAAATTACTATTTGGCCACAATCTGCCTGCCTGTGATACAGAGTTGCACCCATTTCTTTATAATGGGTGAATCATATTTTGAACCTATGGTCTTTAGAATGGAGTTCGTACTAGCCCGCACTCTGTGTAGCACTTAATGGCAGTGGTTGTATCCGCCCGCGACTTTGTCTGCGTAGAAAAATTGATTTCGTATTAAATCTTTGAACCCTCGTTTTACCACTATAGGGGGTAGTTTTGGGAAATCCTTTCTTAGCGCATTCCTATGTCATAAATAGCTATATGTGTGCCGAATTTCATCGCAATCCGTTCAGTTATTTGAGCTGTGCGTCGACAGATCAGTCGGTCAGTAACAGTCGACGACCTCCGTGGCCGAGTGGTTTATACACCGGGTTTCATGTTGTCGCCGTCTCAAAGAGGGTTCGTGGAGGACATATATAAGTATATTTATATAGAAATACATATAACACATCCATGACTGGAGTGCAAATGCTCGTATTCATCACACAAACATCTGACCCCACCGGGATTCGAACCCGGGAGGGAAGACTCCCGGGTTCGAATCCCGGTGGGGGCACAAGTACAATATATGTATTCTATCCGTTACCGTAGCATCCCATAACACAAGCCTTACAGTGCTTACTTTGGGGCTAGGCTAATTGGTGTAAGTGTTGGAAATATTTATTATTATTTACAGTTGCCTTATGTATATATACAGAATATTTTTGTCAATATTTCTCAATGTAGCCAATAGTTACCCATAAATTATAATCATTTCAGCAGGTTAAAATATGGATTCGTTTAGTTATAGCCAATGATCGAATGCATCGGTTTGATAAACTGGCATCGCGCCAACCACTTTCGTCTTTCGAGTGATGAACTAAGCCCATCTTTACCGCCTATCTTTAGATGCAAATAATTAAATTCATAAGACAAACTGACGTAACGGTTATAAATCCGGATTGATGAATTGCATCGGTAAAGTGTTGAAACTATTTATATTTTTTGGAAGTTATTAAGATTTTCGATGAATTCGATGAGTACAATTAAAGTAGCATGAGCACTTGGAAAACGGTTTATTATCAAACCAAAAAAACTCTTATAAGTATTTATTTCCAAGGGAACCTAACATTTTTTTGGGCAAGAAGTATAATATGATTTAATCCAGCGGGGCTATTCCGTAATTTTTTTTTTCGTTTCCCAATAAGATTCGAAGATGAAAATTTTACAGAATAGCCTCGCTGGTCATATACTACTCGTATATCCATACCAAAAGTCATCCCGTTCAGTACTTTTTGTGTGATCAAATACTAAAAATTAAAATTTTCATAATAAACATAAGAAGTAGGATTTACCAGATATTTTTTCACGTAAATATTTTTTTAGAATTTTAGATTAGACATAATATTTATTAGTGCATTTTTTTTTAATTCGTGTTTGTGAGTTTATATAGAAATTGTATAGTAAATTTATTTATTAACTGTGCAGTCAGAAACTTACGTTCAAGTTTAATTGGCATCATTGAGACGCAAAGACGATCAAAAGATATTAAGAAAAATGATTACTATTCGAGATTGTGGTCCTATCTATATGTCTAATATTCCTTGTTAATGAGAAAGTTCAACAATTCTTTTTTAAACTACTCTTAGATTAAACGTGCGGAAGATTAGACATAAAAATTTATACGCGATAAATAAAGTCTAAAATAACTGCCGTTACTTTAAATATGGATTATTCAGATGATAAATCAAACGTTCAAGGATTGGTGATTGTAAATAAAAGTTATGATAAACAAATCGGGCATGAAATAAAACTCATATGGTACGAAAGTATTATTCAATCGTATCTCTTCAGACTCACTGACTGAGATTAAAAATAAACTGTAAGTTTTAATAATAATAATAAATATTTCCAACACTCACACCCGTCTTTCCCAGTGGGCACTTTGGGCAAGTGCCCAGGGCCCCGCGATCGATAGGGGGCCCCCTCAGATCAAATACAAAGTCCCTAGTTCCTGTTAAATCACCAAACGGAAGTCAAAGCGGCCCCATTATCCTAATATGCCCAGGACCTCCAATAGGTCAAAGACGGCACTGCTCACACCAATTAGCCTAGCCCCAAAGAAAGCACTGTAAGGCTTGTGTTATGGGATACTAGGGTAACGGATAGAATACATTTATTGTACATATATAAGTATATTTATATATAGAAATAAATATTAAACTGGAGTACAAATGTTCGTATTCATCACAAAATCATCTGCCACCACCGGGATTCGAACCCGGGACCTCTCGAGTCGGTGACACCATGAAACCCGGCGTATAAACCACTCGGCCACAGAGGTCGTCAAAAGTTTTGAAATGTACGAAGTGCCGGGAAAGTATAGTTTGTATTTACAAAAACAATACATAGTATCCTTGACACTGCTACAAATAAAAATAAACATTCTGGATTTTAACTTTGCATTCACAAATATAGCATACTGGCGGCCGCTCGCGACTTTGTACGCGGGGAGTTAGTTAGAAATAAAGGTTCACTGCTCGTTTCCCGACTTAATAATATTCATGCCAAATTTGAAGTAAATCCATAGAGTACTTTTTGAGTTTATCCCGGACATACATACAGAAAAACAGACAAAAGTTCTAAAAACTATATTTTTGGCTTTGGTATCGATTGTAGATCACACCCCAAGTAATTTGACTTTCCTACCATTTTCTTAAATGTATATTGTACTTACGTGACCGGATATCCTACAGATAACTTTACACAAACTTTAGTTAATGGTCCTTCGAGACGGATAGAGTAATATCATTCTAGACCCGAAAAAATAATAGTAACGAAAAAACAATAATAACGAAAAAACAATAATAACGAAAAAACAATAATAACGAAAGTTATAACAATAGAAAATTTTAAGTTTTACTAATTAGACCTACTAATTTTACCTGTTATCAGTAAGTCAAGACTTTAGCTTTGACCAAAAAATTATCCAAAAGCTTTTCTATAATTTATAGTTTTACTAAATGGACCTTCGAGCCGATTAAATAAAACATCAATAACACGGATCAATAACCACTCTTAAATATTATCTTATTTTTTCTCATATTTAACTATTTTATCAGTAAATCGTGCTCCAGCCCTAGCTAGCCTCAATTCTCAGATGTGAGTGATGTTAACGCTATCCTTGTGTGAGATAAAAAAAAGATCCTTGCAAGGTTGCATTGACATCTTCCTACATGGCTCTTCGAGTCGGATACATCAATAAATAAGTGATAAATACAATTCTATAACAGTTTTTACGGGTGAATTTATTTATTTATTGACGTTTCGCATCCACGACGTCTTTTCAGGAATGCATCATCGGAATATAATACATTCCTGCAGTATTCCTGAAAAGGATGCGAAACGTCAATAAATAAATAAATTCAGTGCATATAACCCGTAAAAAACTGTTTTATTTAATGAGTGATGTGCCTGAAAACCTAAGAAACAAATATACTAACTCTACGTCGTATTTTACATGTTATCGGTAAGTTAGGCTCCAGCTCTGGCCGGAGACTCCCCTAAAGGACTAAACTAAAAGCTAACTTTTCTCAAATCTTCCTGGATCGAGTCGAATGAAGTAATTATGACACTAATTGTTTATCTTACATAGTTATCTACCTGTAAATATAAGTCGGGCACTAGCGCAAACTACTGATGGGCCAAAAAGAATATATAAGATAAGAGAGGCGTGAAGAAGCATATTTGCAGGCCGGCAAGGTGAGGATGGTTGGTGTAGCAGTTTATAACTGCTGTACCAGCTATCTTCGCGTTTGGACTTCATTACCATTTAACATCAGTTGCGGTAGAGTCATTTGCCTCGCTATAAAAAACAAAATAAAAAAATCTTCCAAAATGGTCCTTCAAGCCGGATAAAGTAATAATGTCACCATATATTACCTGTTATCGGTAAGTCGGGCTCCAGCCCTGGCCAGGGACTCCAACAACGGTCCCACGGCGCCATTGACAGCACTCAATTCTCTGATGTGAGTCACGAGTTCTGTTAACGCAGCCCTTGTGAGAGATATCTGGCCTTCCACCTCGCCGTGGGCGCTGACAGCCTGTGTTTGAAACGTGAAATTTCTTGTTCAATATAAATAATGATTTGACCTTTTAATAAGATTGTGTATTAAATCTTGTCTCCTTAAGAAAGGTTACTATACTGTTCAAGATTTCATAAATGATAAAGCAAAATAGCCCTTGCTGTGTTTCTTGCCGGTTCTTACAAGGTCTTCCGCCGTAGAATTACGAACCGATGGCGTAGCAGTTGAGTTTCACAAGAGCTTGTAACAGCCGAGACTGAATAAATGAGTTTAAGTTGAGTTAAGTTGAAAAGAGCTGTAAACAGGTCCATTTTTTTTTTTAATATTAAGTGTGGTAATGTAAAATAACCCCTATACTATTACCCTTGGATTTCCTCCGGATTGTCTCACAGCGGTGATCAAAGCATAAGAAGCTTCTAGCACGGTTCTAGCGTGGACTAGAACTTGGGACTGGGCACTGGATTGGGAGATGAGTGATGCGCAACCTATACTGCCCGATACTACTGCTTCGGAGTAGGATACCTATGGGCAGAAATGTTATATTAAATAAAAAAACATTTGCAACACTTACACCAATTAGCCTATCCCCAAAGTAAGCACTGCAAGGCTTGTGTTGTGGGATACTAGGGTAACGGATAGAATACATATACCGTACATATATAATCATATTTTTATAGAAATACATATTAAACATCCATGACTGGAGTACAAATGCTCGTATTCATCACACAAACAACTGCCCCCACCGGGATTTGAACCCTTGACCTCTCGAGTCGTCGACACCATGAAACCCGGCGTACAAACCACTCGGCCACGGAGGTCGTCAAATAGTGTGAGAAGTCATCTCATGTTATGTTAATATACGATATGACATCTTATGTGTCGTTTCGATTGCGAAGTATTTTGTGTTCTAGTGGTAGCCTAAAGGCTGAATTTCGACATTAGCTGTTCAGTATTAATATTTTTTGATCATTGTGTTTAGTTAAATATTATACTTTCTTGATTATTGTATTCTTTTGTCAGAGTCTTTGTATTTTAAATTCAACAAAATCTAATGCATTATTATTTTAGGTTTTTGTGCCGTGACCATTTAATAACATTATCAATCTACTAAAAAAATTCGTTGCCTACATTTTTTTTTGGCGGTAGCTGTTCCTAATTAGATAAGAAAGCGACATAAAATTTCATATGTGTAGTGATCAAAATCTTACCAATTGCATAACGGCATGCCCCAATAGCTCGGCTTGCGATATCGCAGCCACTCGCAATGGCTCCAAACGTTCCAGCATTTCGCTGGCACTGCTCTCCACTTGTTCAGAGTAACCTGGCAAAATAAGTGATATTAAAATGGCATAACCAAATTACTTATTAAATTACTGCCGTCAATTTTACAAAAATAGGTCATTCGTAAAATAAAACATTGCCCCTGGCATGGGCATATAATTAAGGAATCTGTCCTTTCGCAAATCATTATTCCTAGGAAAAGGACATTGAGAAGATCGCTCTCATTTTATATAGCAACACTTAATAAAAAAATAGCATCGTTTATTTTGGATATTTAGTTAATTTGAAAGCCACATGTAGCACGGGTTAGCTTATTTTTAGCTTCGCAACAAGGTGATATTTCACAAATTAATGTTTAATATAATGAACTTTGAATGTGCATGTCTTTGATTTAATGCTCTAACTCTATTCAATCCATTCTCTCTGATGTTTCATAGAAAAAAGGTTCTATAATTATATATATAATTATATGTTCTATAATTATATATATTAAGTTTTCTATAAAGAAGATTTATAGAAAACTTAAACAATATATGAACTATGAGGAGCTCGATGGCACAAGGTATTACGCAGTCTTTTGAGCAAGAAATACATAGAATTGACCATCCGAATCAGTTTTTTTTAGAAAATTTCAAGGATTGGCGGCAGTCATCCTTCTGGTTACTGTCTATTTTGTGGTAGTATTCATCATCAGCCTATTAATGTCCCCACTGCTGGGGCACAGGCCTTCTTTATGGATGGAATAGGAGGATTAGGCTATGACCCACCACGCGGGTCGAGTGCGGATTGGTGGGTGCTAACGACTGCAGATGCAACCGGGACCAACGGCTTAACGTGCCTTCCTAAGCACGGAGGAGCTTCAGATAGTAAATTTTTGGTCACCCATCCAATGACCGACCACTGCGAAAGTTGCTTAACTTAAACGATCGCAGCCGAACGCGCTAACCACCCGCGATATCGAGCTCCTCTAGTGTGGTAGTATTAAGATTCACTAACCTTGCAGTGTATTCGCCCGTCTCGGCTGCAGTTCTTGGGCCACAGCTTGTATGGAAGCCTGGTCGATTTCTCGGAGTAAACGTGAGAGAGAATCTAGCGCCGAAGCGCATTCGTTTTGACCTGGCGCTTTCTCCCTACGAGAAAAAGTAAGAAATGTATATGCGACCATAATTCAATAAGACCATTAATTTTCCCGAAGCCGTGGTGTAGCTATAAAGTAATACTGGAACGTGTTAAAGCGCTTTTTATAAGCCTATTTGTAAAAATAAATGACTTTTAATATGATTTAAAGAATTTATTTAAGACGACCTCCGTGGCCGAGTGGTTTGTACGCCGGGTTTCATGGTATCGCCGACTCGAGAGGTCCCGGGTTGAAATCCTGGTGGGGGCAGATGTTTATGTGATGAATACGAGCATTTGTAATCCAGTCATGGATGTTTAATATGTATTTCTATATAAATACACTTATATATGTACAGTATATGTATTCTACCCGTTACCGTAGCATCCCATAACACAAGCCTTACAGTGCTTAGTTTGGGGCTAGGCTAATTGGTGTGAGTGTTGGAAATATATACTTCAAGTGCGCTCAAAATGTGTCCCAATCAAGAAGTGCTTTAACACCACTCAAGCACTTCTCAGTCCACGTTGAAAAGTCAAGATGCCGCAGAGCTCCGTGAAATAACGCGAAAAAAAGGCTTATAGTACTTAAAGTGTCGTTTATGGCGACATGGCGACACCATGAAACCCGGCGTACAAACCACTCGGCCACGGAGGTCGTAAAAAATAGGGTATTAAATATCGTTGTTGACCGTACTTTAGTATTATATTATCACTACATAGTATAAAGCAAAGTCGCTTCCCGCTGTCTCTCTGTCCGTATGTAAGCTTAGATTATTTAAACTACGCAACGGATTTTGATGCGGTTTTTTTAACAGATTTTTAATAGATAGAGTGATTCAAGAGGAAGGTTTATATGTATAATACATGCATAATGTAGTAGAGAAACACTGTCAATTTTAGCGGCTTTTAATGTAAGGTCGTAAATAAACACATTTATGCGCTTACATTGCAAACGCTGGTTGAACCCTACGAGATAGATCAAAATAATGTTCTACAGTATTGTACACCTTAAAAAGGTCTACAAAAAGTCCGCGATGGTATATGTCTATCTCTTAGAGATAACCCACAATAACCATTTTTATTCTTTACTTTTTACGAGAAATAATAGCTTATTTACGAAGCGATTTTCAGCAATACAGCATTGATCCTAATCCAATTAAGTACCTTAAATACATTGTGCATTTAATATTGATCAATTTGGTCCTTTACAGCGTGTAATTTAAATGAATATTTTCGAAGATATTCCAGATTTAAGATGCAGGGACATAGCGGTTACCCGGGGCCGGCGGCGCGTGCCTATAGTAATTATATAAATTAAGTCATTGTTTATAATAATACAAGCTTGAGAACAAAAACTAAAGTCTACACTACAGCTTTACATCTAAGCGAAGCGAGAGCGGGCCACTAGTTATAGATAATTACCTGATACTGGTGACCAGAGACTTGATGCTGTCGGACACCGTCTTACTGTGCGAGGCGAGACGTTGCCACTGCGCTCTGTCTTGAGGCGAGAGAGCAAGAGCTTTAGCAGCTTCTAGCATAGAGCAGGACGACGATATAATGTTCCTGTTGTAACAAATAACACTTCATTAGATGCTATTTTATAGACAGGAGAGCAGCTCGATGGTAAGCGCGTTCGGCTGCGATCGTTAAGTGAAGCAACTTCCGCAGTGGTCGGTCATTGGATGGGTGACAAATATACTAATAAAAATTTACTATCCCGAGCGCTTCCGTGCTTCGGGAGTCACGTGAAGCCGTTGGTCCCGGTGCACCTACAGTCGTTAGTACCCACCAATCCGAACGGGCCCTCGTGGTGGGTCACACCCCAAGCCAGTTTGGATTCTTAATTCAATGAAATTTTAGTTTTTATTTAAATAAATATAAATAATTACTAATTTAATCCTGTTTATAATGTTAGTTAACTCACCTGCCAGCCTCCAATATATCATGTTGTGCATGTCTGGCCTGTGAAGATATTCTCGCTGGTACACTAGCAAATTCTGGCCTATCGGCGAACGCGCATAGGCCACGAACGGCCTCTTGCAGTGGGCCAGTCGCTTCGGCGCAGCGTTTTCTGTTCGCCTTTTTAACAAAAACAATAGGTATTTAGAACCGAGTCAATAAAAAGTTAAATTTGACGTCTTAATGCCACTACTTTCGAAAGAACGTGAAACATAAAATTTCACTCCCTTATTAATAAACAACGAATAAGCTTAGACTAGTTACACCGTGTTTTGTCAATGTCACTCAAATGCCATTTGTCATTCAATGAACAGAGACAAAACATGGAGTAACTAATCTAAGCTTCTTCGTTTATTAATATGGGGGTCAAAAATTAGCAAACCATCTTCGAAGTTAAATCACTTACCCCATTATTAATAAACAAGAAATAAGCTTAGACTAGTTACACCGTGTTTTGTTCATGTCACTCAAATGCCATTTGTCATTTAATAAACTGAGACAAAACATGGAGTAACTAATCCAAGCGAAGACTTCGTTTATTACTAAGAGGTTAGGGTATTTTACTTTTCTGTTGGCTTTTTTCCTTTATCATATAACACACAGAAGCTTAACATATTGAGTTTTTTCTATACATATTTATATACACTCTATATACCGTATGTACTGCACGGACGCGACACAAAAATATCTACTACATATGGTAAATATGCTCCTCGCTACACATACACCCATTGACTGTTTTAGTACAATCTGACATTAGGGTCACGCACAAATTGCGCGTTTTTTAGTGATTTATTTGGATTGCTCTATCTAGGCGTATAAATAATCAAATATATTAAATACAGATCAAGCTCGCTATAATCTGAATCCAAAGCACAGAACACAGAAAGAGGTGAGAAGGGTGATTTTAGACCCTTTTTTGCACGGGAACCGATGTCGCCGGCTTCACTTGCACCCAATAGATAATATCCAATCAAACGACGTGACATCAAACAATCGAACCAATCAGTGCTCACACCCGGGAGCAACGACGCAATCAGAACCAAGTTTTGGTCAAGTTATGAGCATTTGCTCACACATAACTGTGACGCGCCTGCCTCGCCCACAAGGCCCTTCTAACCCCTTTTTTGTTCTGTGATCCAAAGCTTTAATCTCTCTCTGTTACCTCTTCACGCTTAATCCGTTGAGCGAATTTAAATGAAATTTGGCATACACATAGTTTGAGTCACAGAAAAGGAAATAAAAAGTATAGTTTTTATCCTAGAAATCATTGTGTGGGAGACGAAATGTCTCCGCTTGTGGCTCGCTCGTTTGGGAACCATTTTCTGTATATAATATTACTATAAATATAATTTGCGGAGCTCGTTGGCGCAAGTGGTTAGCGCGTTCGGCTGCGATCGTTGAAGTTAAGCAACTTCCGCAGAGGTCGGTCATTGGATGGGTGACTAACAATTTACTATCCCGATCGCTTCCGTGCTTCGGAAGGCACGTTAGGCCATCGGTCCCAGCTGCATCTGCAATCGTTATCACCCTGCAATCCGCACTGGGCCCGCGTTGTGGGTCATGGCCCAATCTCACTATTCCATCTATAGAGAATGCTGTGCCCCATCAGTGGGGACAATAATAGGTTGATGATGACAATGATGATAGAGAGATTTACCTCGCTATAATCCGCGTCCAAAGCTTTGATCTCCTTGACGAGAGCAGCGGTAGAGTTGGCCACATCTTTGGCCGCTTGAACGAAATGTCTCTTCGCTTGTGGTTCGCTCGTTTTGGAAGAAGCGACGCGGCAAGCGTTGCACAGGGATGAAGTGTGTTTAGCTATAACTGTGGCCGCTGATAACACCTGTTGGGGCAATAGAAATCCTTTAAAATATATGTTATCAACCATTTAATAAAACACTTTTTCAACACATTTGCTGAAAATTGCATTTGCGCGGGTTGTATACAAGGGTGCGTTTGTAATAAAGATTGAAAATAAAAATACTTAATCATTTTTCTTTTACAATATATTCACCTGCTACCGTAATATATTTTTCAGATCTTTCCATCACCTTCATTAAAAAAGGTTTTGTCTTTGTCCGAATAATACGCAGTCGTGGCTGATTTCCTTCACTTCTTCATCAGTTGAAAATTTCTTTCCACGAAGTTGTTTTTTCAGTTTTGGAGCCAGGTCTGGGCTGTAGGGTGGATAGTCTAAAATATCGAAGCCCACCTTATGCAGGGCAGCCAACGCAACACTGCTCTTGTGAACAGGCGCGTTGTCGTGAAGAAGAAGGACACCTTTGGTCAATTCTCCCCCTCTTGTTTTCTTTCATGCTTTCTTTCAACTTAGAGGATAGAATATATATAAAAGAAACGAGGGGCTCGTACATTGTTCGTAAGTTCAAAATTACAGGCCATACACGGAGCGTGCGGTAAAACATTTTACTGCACGCTCCCATACGCGCTCTTCTTCCCTGAAGATTTAGCCCCTTTATAGAAAGATTCTCAGTGATTGATCTAGTCTTGAGCATAGTTAGAAAGGGATGCCGCTATATATAGCACAAAGCGATATCCCTTTCTAACTGTACTTAAGTAAAGATCAACACTTAGTTGTCATTCTGTAATAGGGGCCTTAGTTTTCATTTGACTCACCTGTTGTTGGTCGCTGTTAGGATCCGACAGGCATTGGCAAGCGTGCTCTATGGCGGTCAAAGCTCTAGCGAATTGTGCCTGATCCACGAGACCTGGCCGACCTGCGACGCTACTCTCGTCGGAAATCGCCACCTTGACAAACAAACAGACCATATTTGTTTCTTAGTTTTTCACGCATACCACTCATTAAATAAAACAAATAAAATGACTTCTCTACTGCGCCGATAAAAGGTAAAAACTTATATGTATAATTAAATATTCACCAAATAAGCGGCTTGAGCTGCCCCCTCCACTAATCCAGTGACGGCCGAAGCGACTCCTGACACGGAGCGGGCAAATTGTTCTTGTTCCGCTCGTTTCACAGCCCCGGCCATACCGGACATTCCCGTACCTAAATAAATGAATTAAATAAATAAATATTTCCAACACTCACACCAATTAGCCTAGCCCCAAAGTAAACACTGTAAGGCTTGTGTTATGGGATACTAGGGTAACGGATAGAATACATATACTGTACATAGATAAGTATATTTATATAGAAATACATATTATATAAATATCCATGACTGGAGTACAAATGCTCGTATTAAACTACTTGACCGTCACTGAAAGCTTTATATTGAGATAGCACTTCCGTTTCCCGTCGAATTACCATCAGTTTCCGTACTTTTATTCACCTTATATCCGGTCCAGTGGCGACACCTGGCAGAAGCGCGGCCATTTTTGTTTTCCTAAGTTTTGACAGCGCCATATTAACTCATTGGCGTTCTGACTCCCGTCGAAGCAACACGTCCTCAATCTGAGCGATCGTTGCGAGATTTTAAAGGTTTTATTATTATTAAGTGATAAAACTGTAAGTAAAACTATTTTATTTTAACGGTTTTTGCCGTTCGTGTTATTCCAAATAGGTACTTTACGTGTCAAAAGTGAAGTAATCGTAAGTAAAACTATTATTCTTTTTGATAGGTTTTGCAGCCCTTGTGATAAGGGACTTTTAAAACAAATATGTTAAATTGTGCAATACGCTTGTTTGAAAAAGTAATAATAAGCCGTGAGTAAAACTTAACGGCAATTCAAGGTGCGTTTTGTTTAAAAAATTAAAGTACCTACATAAAGTAAATTTTGCAATACTTTACGTCTGTCTTGGTCGTTTATCATAAAAACTATTTTAAGAGTGTTTTCTCTTGGTATTCAATTAATGTTTCCGTATAAGTAAATGTGAAAGTAAATTGGTAAATGTATTACAAAATACTTAATTAAATTGTTTTACAGTTTAGAGTGAAGGAATATCGGTCAATATTGACGTTTCAGCCGCCGACTGACTGGCATTATTGGCAAAAACAGCAAGATGTGTGGATCTAGTCATTATTGTTCTTCGAACAGCTGCAGTAATAATTGGTTGAATTTGTCGTCTTCTGGTATAACGAAAGCGGCATCGCTGCCTCAAGAAAAATAAGCGAGCTTGATATTCCAGCCCTTTTATTAAAAGATTGTTCGAGTGGTAAGTGAACTATGTACAATCTTAATAAGGTATTTCTAATGTCGATATGCCGTTTTCTGAACATGGCCAGCTATCAATATCTAAAGGCTTATGAATAAAAAGTTCTAACATTTTTACTGACCAATACACGTAATAAAAATTCTCATATGAGTCGTGTGACTAAACTAGGATAAAGGTACGCTCTGTTCGAAAGACATTCAACGTTTATTTTAAATGATATGCTGATGTGAATTAAAAATTATAATCATAGTCCAGGCTTTATCAACCTGGAAACAAACAACGAGGTAAAGAAGTATGATGATAATTTATGATATATCATGTTCCTGACATTAATTTTCTTTCAGCAATTGCATATTTCTAAAATAAAAATGAATCATTGCGGGAAGGCACCTGCTCAGTTAATTTTAATGACGAAAGTGATAAGATAACAGAATCGTTTCTTAGGTCTTTTACAACTAGCACAAAGCTAAAAAGTAAAAACTAAAGGACTGCAAGAAGTTAGTGATCTCTGTGATGAAGCACCACTTAATAAGATACCATCTATGAGGTTGTTTTTATCGTATTAAGTAAGTATTTGTCATGGATTTAAGTGATTGACTTTTCATCAACCTAATGAGCAACTCGCGCAGAGGCAAGTGATATTCATAAGCTTCATCTCATGAAGCCCAAGGCGTGTCAGGACATGCCCTCCCATGGCGTACCTACACATATGAGTACCGGTGGCAAATCACCCTCGCGGGGTGCATATTATATATAATTTGTTTCCACTACGTGGAATCTTATTAAATGCCTCTAATGCCTTGCCTACATATACGAGTACCGGTGGCAAATCACCCTCGCGGGGTGAATATTATGTACAATTAGTTTCCACTACGTGGAACCTTATGAAATGCCTCTAATGCCTTGCCTACATATACGAGTACCGGTAGCAAATCACCCTCGCGGGGTGCATATTATATACAATTTGTTTCCACTACGTGAAACCTTATGAAATACCTCTAATGCCTTGCTTACATATACGAGTACCGGTAGCAAACCACCTTCGCGGCGTGCATATTACCAAAACTCTGATGATCGCCCCTCGCGGGGGCATATTATGTATAATTTGCTTCCTCCGTATGGAACTCATTATGAATAAGGACTTGCCTTCCATGGCTTGCCTACACATACAAGTATCAGTAACAAAACATCGTTGATAGAGAAATATCCTCATCAATTTTATAATCGCCCTTGTGGGGTCATATCACACATAATATATTATTTCCATTACGTGAATATCAATATATGCTCTCCTTAGAACATGTTCGCTTATGGAGTTCGTACTATTATGTAAGCACCGGTAACATACGACACTCGAGTGGAGCAAATTATGCATAATTTAACATGTAGTCTATTCGTGATTCATAATTTATTTTTGTGACCATGGGGTCTTTAAAAGTGTAAATGATTCGAAACATTAAAAATAAGTAAATTGAAAATATAATAAATGTCACTTGACATAATTCATTACTTCCATCGCGTGGAAATCCATACATCAACGCAACGCAACATACCCGCTCATGGCTTGCGTACACACATAAGTATCGGCTATAAACTACCCTCTTAATAGACTATAAAGATCGAACATCGAATGTTGACGTACCCCGTTGGGAAGTGCAATGTACGTGGTTTTTAAGGTGTCGCATACTCCGAGGTCTTGGGTTCACCCCGGTGGGGCAAATCATTGTATGATAAAAACGAGCATCTGTGCCTAAGTTTTGGTTGTTAACAAATATGAATTTAAAATCTAATCTAATAAATTCTAATCTATGCATCATCGTTAGCCCATAACACAAGCCTTTCAATGCCCATTATAAGGCTAGGCTAATTGGTGTGAAGTGTTGACTCGATCACTACGGTTGTTCTACCGTAATATATAATACATTTCAAAAGAAAAAGGAATATCGAAACAATTAATGTTTGAAAAAATTTAGTGCAGGTAAGTTGATAAATTGGGAGCTCCATAAATAATTCTTAAATAAATATAATGGTATCGCATGCCATTCAAAAACTTGTTTATCTAAATCCAATATATATCAAACTCCAATCTCAAGTGCAGTACACTATAAATATGTAAAGAATTCTAAGTTTTCTGCAATTTAAAGACTATCTGCCAGATAAATAGAAGATAACATATTTTCTCTTGAAAATAACAAAAGTAAACCAAATGGGTTGCTCACTCTTTTGATCGCGTAATGAGAGAAACTTGCAATATTAGAAATGTCGTGTATGTGGTGTCTGAGGTGGCCAACATGATCATTTTGATATATAAGTGGTGCTAGTTACTGAAGAAAGATTGCACGATCTACCAAATTCTTGAAAGGTTTTGAAGATCATTATATGCAATTATCCCCTTTATGTTATTTTAGTAAAAATTACTGAAAACTGTTCTTAATATTAAACTTACGCTTTCTAACCTTGCCACGACTGTCTGGAATAAATATACTTCAAGCCCTACGCCATAGTACATGCACACCTCATGTAAGCTGTGTAAATGTTATAAATAACTAAATCTTTTTTTAGTATTAAGTAATACATCTAAATGACTCAGATCTAAGAACTGAAAAACAAAAGAAAAATTACAATCAATTATAGATTCCAGGATGGCAAATGAATTTCATAAAATCTGGTCTGAACTTCGTAATAGCATAATTTATCACGGCAACCCAGCAACAATATAAAAACTATACCAGAGAATTTCGTTGTAAAAACATAAACTTCAGAAGTTGATCGGTTTCAACATTTTTGTCATTCCGTGGGGTTGTATCAACCACTCCCTACTTCTAACAATAATTATGAATTCACTGCAATCGACCTTGCAATCACTTCCCGCCAATCTAATATGAAAGCTTGGGAAGTATAGTTGAAGAACACGGCACGATATGCTAGCACTACGCTTTTCAACATATTCTACAAAGAGCGACAGCTGTCTTAAACAGCTATGAGATGGCTCGGAAACGCTGGCTTGCGTGGTTGCATTGGTCTAGGAACAAGAATGTTTATCGGAATAATCCCGCAAGTTGTGGACTCTGCTCTGAACTAACACGATTTTTGGGAGACTTATTTTTAACTCGTGACTTATTTAAAATAATGGTACTTATTTTAAGATAAGTCAGTAGTTTTTACATGATATACCAATGGATGATAAGTCTAATTACCCAAGCTCACCTGTCTTGGCAAACACGTTTTTTGAAGTCGATTGTTTTTAAAGAATCAGTCCGTAACCTACTATTCTGTGTCTATAAGTTAACTTATTTCCTTTTCTTCAATAATGTACTCGTTTCATCATAATGATCTGTTTCAAATACTTCGTCATATATGTTGTTCTGAACGTCATACAGTAATTATGCTGCGTATTATTTGGTTCAGCATGTGGTACACATGACTTGTTCCTACTTCAAATTATCCCGAATCATTGTATTTGTACCGACGAAGATTAGTTTAGCCTTGTTTTGGTTCAAAACAGGTGAAAGTAGTTAAAGACAATCCGATTGGTGACTTGTACCGAATAATGGTAATCGTAAGCGGGACCCTGATTTTTGGTACTTAAGTAAAAATACAGTCTTGTAAAATGTAAGACTCAGTATCGAACAACTTTACATCTTTTTCTCTCGTTCGTACGCCTTATTTGTGATATACAAAGATACAAATGAATGCTACACAAGGAAGCGTCCGGTCATTAACAAAGCAAATATATGTAGAAGTATATATATATATATATACTTCGCGAGTTTTAAGCAAAGGAATATAGCGATCAGCTAATACATATGTTAAAGCAGCTTCGTAAGCTTGAAGAAATTAAAGGCGTGATTCAAATAATATTATTTGATTCATTTTTAAGCTTACTCGTTTCTTTATACAGTTTCATATAATCTGATAAATGTTAATATTTAAATTTATCATAAATTGTCACATTGGCGTATATATCTATGTACGTGGCGATCACCAGGCGATAACAAACAGGTCTCAATATAAAGCTTTCAGTGACGGTCAAGTAGTTTAATAGCAGCATTTTACCTGAAATAAAATGCATATTAAAATACTTACCTCACTGAAAGCTTTCACTTTAAATTCTGCCTGGTGAAATAATTGAGCCAATGAGTTAATATGGCGCTGTCAAAACTTAGGAAAACAAAAATGGCCGCGCTTCTGCCAGGTGTCGCCACTGGACCGGATATAAGGTGAATAAAAGTACGGAAACTGATGGTAATTCGACGGGAAACGGAAGTGCTATCTCAATATAAAGCTTTCAGTGAGGTAAGTATTTTAATATGCATTTTATTTCAGGTAAAATGCTGCTATTCATCACACAAACATCTGCCCCCACCGGGATTCGAACCCGGGACCTCTCGAGTCGCCGACACCATAAAACCCGGCGTACAAACCACTCGGCCACGGAGGTCGTCATTGAAGAGTATACTTTTATAATCATTGGTGTTCGCATGATTCTCTAAAGCTAAACTCAAATTTTGCAATAGTGTATCCTTGTAATTCTCTATACAGAATGAAAAGGGAGAGACCGATGTTAAATTTAGTTTTAAGTTTAGAGAATCACGCCAGAATCGACACCATTAGCACGCTATCACCTACGGGGAACGAGCAGGGACGACATTTATTTCTAACTACGCGAACGAAGTCGCGGGCGGCCGCTAGTACTGATGTTTAATTTGGTTTTAAGTTTAGAGAATCCTTCCAAATTCGACATTAATGTCTTCTATCCATGTCTTCTAACGGCGGGAGACCTTGTACTGAGAATAACCCACAAGAAACTCAGCAAGGGCTGTTTTTCCCCCGTATTATATACAGTAGTCAAATTGAAAAATGACTTCAATATGAGGTAACTCATAAAGTCAAATTTAATTACAAATGCAAATAATACAAAAATTATGACTATAAAATAAAAAAAATATATAAAAAACTGGTTAAACATAGTTTAGGAATGCCTAGTCCTACTGTTTAGGCAAAAAAAATAATGATATAAAAACAAGTAGACCTAAAATCAAACGGCTCAAACGTCATCATGACAGCAGATCCACATTAAAAAAGAATGGGGAGTCCTAGTATCCCATAACACAAGCCTTACAGTGCTCACATTGGAGTATTAGGTTTAAGTGTTGGAAATATTTATTAATATTATTAACAGAAGAAATAAAAAGGTTTAAAATTTCGGCAAATGCTTCATATCAAATTTACATAATTATTAATAGCATATATTTTGGAATTAAATACCTAAAAAACAATTTACCAGAAATAAATGTTGATACCTAACATAAGACCAACAGAATTAGCATTAATACTCACTGAGCCCCTTGCTTTGCTCGACCACGCAATCAAGGCATCCGAAGTATCCCAACTCGTTGACAGGTTGACTGGGAGCTGCCAAGAGTGTTCTGGAACTTTCTATGCTACGTATTGCTGCTTCACACTCTTTTTGACCTGGCGCGGCTTCTGTGCACACGTCGACCTAAAGGTGATGGGAATGAGGGTGATTTTAATATCAATATGCAACAAAACTCGACTCGAAACTGAGGAGCTCGATGGCGCGGGTGGTTAGCACGTTCGGCTGCGATTGTTGAAGATAAGCAACTTTCGTAGTGGTCGGTCATTGGATGGGTGATCAAAAATCTTCTATCTCGAGTTCCTCTGTGCTTCCGAAGGCACGTTAAGCCGTTGGTCCCGGCTGCATCTGCAGTCTTTAGCACCCGCCAACCCACACTGGGCCCGCGTGGTGGGTCGTGGCCCAATCTCTCTATTCCATCCATAGGGAAGGCCTGTGCCCCAGCAGTGGGGCCATTAATAGGCTGATGATGTCACCAAAACAGTCTAGTTTTTTTTTATATTTATAGAAAATTGCTAATTTTGACAGTAAAACAATGAGGATTGTCTTGTTCAAAGGCCCAAGTTTATCACCACATCATTATAGTCTATAGCCAAGTGACTAGTAAATCACTAAAATCAAGGTGATAACATATTAAATATAAATTAAAAGGAACATGAAATAGGTACGCTTAAATGAGGATTAGAATTCTTGTATATTACAGAAATAATAGGATTTTTTACGTACGTATCCGTTATGCAGTGACAAATTTTGTCCTTCGAGCAGGACAATTGTCACTGATTCGACGGCAAATATATTACATTTGTCTATGCGTTGGACATTTGACAGATCACATGTATAAAGAATTCATAATTTAAATTACAGTTATAAAAGAAATAACAAAACCATGGACTTACCAAACGATTGATGCTTTCGGTGACAGCACGAGCTGCGGCCATCAGTTGATTCATGGCGTTGGGTCTACTTAAATCCTGATAAAATAAAATATGACTTAGAATTTAAGGACGAATACGTAAATAAGAATAAAAGCATATTATAATGAAAAGGTAAATTTATTTTACTTCGTTGTTTAGTGGAAAAAGTATCACCTGGTTTTTATTATTTAAAATAAATAACATTAACTTCACTGTGTCATAATTTTACGGGTGAACTTTATACCTATACATTTAGAGTGCGTTATTCAGTTAAATTAACTTACTTGACTGACAGATTTAGCTGTGCTGAGCAACTTCGATGAATTGACAGTGACGGATTTCATTGAATTCACCATTTGTGTACGAGCATCACGATCCTGTAACAAAAAATATAGTTGAAATAATGATAGCAATGTAAAATTGAGTACTTTTATGCCAGTAAAACTATAATATACCGATGCATTCGAATTATTTTGTATAAATGGCTGTGTAGTGTGAAGTTAGCAGCGAGCTTAATCGATGGCGGCGGCCATCGTCCTATTGAACGAGTGCCCATATGCCCCGCCAGGGACGGTGTACGTTCGACCACATACACTACTTCCTATTACTGTCAGTTTTATCATCTTGTAGGCAGGTCAAACGGGAAGATCTTCCACAGCGTTGGGTGATGCTAGCTCCGCCCGACTGATGTTGGTACCGCTCTGTATATATATTTGTATCTGCGAAATTCGTTAGCACGATGCAGACCGGTAAGTCAAGGCCCGTTTTCTTATTTCATCCATAGGGAAGGCCTGGGCTCCAGCAGTGGAGACATTAAAAGGCCGATGATGATGATTACAAACTATTTAATATGAATATAATAACCTCGGTCTGTCCTGCCATCTCCATGGCGGCGGCCATCGTCCTATTGAACGCGTGCCCGTATGCCCCGCCAGCTTGCGCCAGAGATTGTGGACGTTCGACCCCGTTCACTACTTCAGATGACGCGTCGTTAAGTTTAACAGCAGCGTCGGTGAGTTCGGTTTGTAGTTCGCTGCGTAAAATGAATAATTAATGTCATAAATGTATTCATAGGCAAAAAATAGACTGAGCGACACTGGAATGAAATTGATAACTGTAGCCATAAAGAAATAAAAAACAAGCAATACATGGACAAACTATGGGCTTTTGACTGTTATCGCTTAGTTTTATTCACACTTATCTAACCAGTTTTACTTGCCATTGGTTAGAAAAGGCACAGTTTATTTCCCTATATAATTTATAACAAAATACTTTGAACGGCACCCCTCGTGTAAAATAATAATTACTAAAAGCCCATTCCCCTCGGCCAAGGAATCAGACATGACTCAAACTTGGAGCCCAATTTTTGATTTGCTAGCCTGACATAGTATAGTCGAAGGCGACTTAAGTCACTTTCGACTTCCAAGTCGCATGATACGGATTTTCCGTATTTTTGAATCATTCATCTGCAGTGTTACCAGTTTAATAAAAAAATATATAATTAATTTCACGGAAAAATATAACAAGCAGTCATTATAAATGTGCATTATACAAATAAACGTATAATTCTCAATAACTGGTTACCGTAAGCTATCCGGGCGGGCGAATTTATAATCAGCAGTTTTATGCTTAAAATTATAAAGTTCACGAGGTAAAGCGCGGTGGAAAGCTAGTATTATATTCAACCATTAAAAGGTATAATTTATATTTCTTAAGCATGTAACTGCTTGATATTTAAATCTAAAGAAAACATTACTAAAAAAAGAAAAACAAGCGGACCAGGCAGCAGACGGCAAAGAAATGGCGCTGCCTTGAAGCTTAAGAATGGCTAGGAGAATTTCGACGCGGCCGTCAGGGCCGAGGTAGCATAATTGGTCAGTGCGGATTACAAAAGGTGCGGGTTCAAGTCCCGTCTGCTGTCTGGTCCGTGTGGATTTTTTTCTAGTTATGTTTTCTTTATATTAAAAGGTAATTTTAATAATCGAAAATTAAACTAAAACGAGAGAAAACATAGTTAATAAAAATACCTGTACGGCTTATCCGATGGCGGGAACTCGTTCATATCCAGAATGTGCAACGTCTCGTTGATATCTTCTAAAGCAGCATCCAGCTCCGTGTGAGACGGCGCCGCTTCTAGTGTGGTTTCCAAGCCCTGCAACAAACGGGAGACATTTAACGGCTGTACGAAGAGATGTCAGTTAATTTTATTTATTTAACACCGCGGGGCACAGCTAGTAAGTAATAAATCAGTTTCTTCCATATCCATTTTTGTGGCTGACTATAACAATTTAAATAAAATAAGAAACTTGATATGGGGCCATAACCTTAGTTAAGGTAAAATTCGTTTTACAGATCTCCATGCACCTTTCAGCCTAGTCGAATTTAGTATTGTATATAAGGAATTTCCTGCTAAACCATTTTTTTTATCAATTTAATAATGAAAGTTTAATAAATTTAAAAGTGGCAGCATCGTCTTTAATCGAACTTTAAAGTTAATTGTCCTCTTCGAGTCGTTTAGGCTATAGAGCATGCCAAAGAGGTAAAATGCAAATTAAATCCTCACTCGAAAACATTACTGCAACGCCCGTGGCCTCCCTGCTTGTGTAAACTCTTTGGCTATGTAATGCATACGGCTGGCAATTGTATTAATAAGTAAATGTCATTATTTTAAAGATTTGAATATGAGGATCTTCTGTCTCATATCGAATATCCTGAGAGATAGAATTCAGGCACATACTCGAACGGTTGATATAAAGATTATTGTACACTAGCAAACCAGTGAACCAAATGTTCACCAAAACCTGATTAAAAAAAAATATGTATTTAATTAATTGAGAACTTCGGAGATTTTGTGTGGTTTCGTTTGAAATTCGTGATTTCTCGAAAACCGGAAGTGCTACGTTACTCAAATCCGGTTTGTAGTCTTATCAGACTATTCTTAACTTATAACTTAAACATTCTCTTTATCTATCTCTTACGGTTTGGCCGCTGAAACAGCACCACAGACGGACGGACGGACGGACTTGTCTAAAAGATAAGAGATTATTTCTCAGAGTTTAAATAAAGGAAGAGAAACATTATCTTTCGCAGTTATTGTAAGCTGCGTCCCTAGGGGCTTCCCTTCAGGTTAAGCCCTACACTACTCTCCTTCTTACCAAGTCGGTTAAAAAGCATTGTCTTACCACAGTGATATCCTTCGCTATAGACTTCAGACTGTTGATGTCGACTTGTTCCGAAGTGCTCATGTAGCGCTTCACCGTCTCCACTAGAGTCAACGATGACGTCACCACTTGACGGGTGGATGTTATCACTCTGTATAAAAAAATACAATATTTAAGTTGAGCAAGTTTCTCAGTGGCCGGTCATAAGATGGGTGACCTAAATATATGGACCTAAATATTATGGATTTCTTGACATGTATATGTGATGACGTATGACAATTGATTGACATGTTTAAATGGAATTAATGTTTTGGTATGATTAACAATAGTGTGACCAATTACAATATTAATATAAAATAATTTGATATTTGCATGCTAATTTAGCGAACCATGTTTGAGCACCATATGTATTGTAACATCTTTTTATTGTACCATGTTTCTTGTAAATAAATATGAAATAAATTGATTGTCTCCGCTAACGGAGTAACTGAAACAATTTCTGCGAATTAGATATTAGCTCGTGCTAAGGATACAGTGGTGTCGATTCTGGCATGATTATCTAAACCTAAACTTAAATTTGACGATAGTTTGTATATCTGTGTCATTCTCTATACAGAGTGAAAAGGAGAGCAAGATGTTAAATTTAGTTTTAAGTTTAGAGAGTCATGTCGGAGTTCACACCAGTACATTAGTAGTTGATGTAGTGCCCGGGTTGCGGCGCCCGCCATCTCGTTACCAGGCATAGCATTGCATGGACACACACACACACACACACACACACACACACACACACACAAACACACATAAATACGAGCACACACTTCATAAAGTTATCATGTGACAAACTCTCGAAAACCCTTTTATATGGATATTCAGTGTTTGGTTTTCTTCCTTTTTGTCTTTTTGTTATGTTTTTGTCCAATCTTAATTTTATTTTATTTTTTATGTTAATGAATTATATGATTTTTATGCAATTTTTAAAATTAAATTAAATTAAATGTAATAATTACTGACATATAATAACGCCGTTAATATCTAATGTGTACGAAATGAGTTTCTGTAATTGGCCTTAAGATTATATCTATATTATATTATATTCAATTTCACAAAAACCGCTGTAGAAACTTTGTTAAAGATAAATAAATAAATACTAGAGATATTGTCACCTCTCATTTTGTTCCGGCGCCGACAACGAAGCTCTAGCGTGCACGCCCGCAGTGAAGTCTTGTAAGGCGGCGGCTAGACTGCAAGCGGAGCGGCCCGCGCCCTCCCCGCCGCCTTTCACCGCGCACAATAACTGTACGGTGCTCGAAGCCGCGGCCCGAGATGCGTTGTGCATTGTCGAAGTGGCCCATTCCTCCTAAAAATAATAATAAATAAATAAATAAATATTTACAACACTCACACCAATTAGCCAAGCCCCAAAGTGAGCACTATAAGGCTTGTGTTATGGGATACTAGAGTAACGGATAGAATACACATACTTTAAATATTTAAGTATATTGACGTGACAACGTCTTAAATTAGGTTGCGGCTGGGAGTCACTTATGAAAAAGTGTAACGCTCGGTAACGTTACGATGAGTCTCTCGTGTTAAGTTTAAGTTTACATGTACAATGTTTTAGTAAACAAAATATATTTCTATAGTTAAAATTTGTGCAATTCTTATTTTCATTCAATTCCTTGTTCCTATTGTGCAATTTAATTATATTCATATCAATAAATATTCTACCGAGAAAAAGACGTTGTCACGTAAAATCTTCGCCCGTAAAACCGACTTTACAGGCAACCATTTTTTTTTTCTCGTGTATTACTTTCGTTCGCCGAAATTGCTAATATGAGCGCTTAGGAATTATTTACATTTCTCGAATTGCAATTATAATTTAGTAATAATTAATTGTAATTATACTTTTATTTATAACAAGCTTGAGCAGCAGTGTTTATGCTGCCGTGTCTTTCACTTGACAGCATATTGAATTCTGAGCAAAGAGTACTTATAATTCTGAGCGAACTAAAAGATTCTTGATGTATCTTGGGTCATAGATTCAAGTTCACAAACTATGTAGGTATTCTATCAATTACTTAGGTCTACTTAAGAGAGGGACTATTGAGAGTTTTATTTTACTAGTAAGTCTACTGGGTACAAAGTTCCCAGTGGTCTAAATAGTAACTTTATTGGAAAGGAAATTCTCAGTAAAGTTCAACTGGTTATAAGCAGACTATATAGTTTCACCGTGTTTTGTTCGTATCACTGAAATGCCACTTTGTGATTCAATGATTTGAGAAAACACATGTAGTACCTAATCCAAGCTTGTTCTGTGTATTCAATCAAACTAATAAAGAAATAAACTTTTGACGTGACAACGTCTTAAATTAGGTTGCGGCTGGGAGTCACTTATGAAAAAGTGTAACGCTCGGTAACGTTACGATGAGTCTCTCGTGTTAAGTTTAAGTTTACATGTACAATGTTTTAGTAAACAAAATATATTTCTATAGTTAAAATTTGTGCAATTCTTATTTTCATTCAATTCCTTGTTCCTATTGTGCAATTTAATTATATTCATATCAATAAATATTCTACCGAGAAAAAGACGTTGTCACGTAAAATCTTCGCCCGTAAAACCGACTTTACAGGCAACCATTTTTTTTTTATATAGAAATACATATTTAAACATCCATGACTGGAGTACAAATGCTCGTTTTCATCACACAAATATCTGCCCCCACCGGGATTCGAACCCGGGACCTCTCGAGTCGGCGACGCCATGAAACCCGGCGTACAAACCACTCGGCCACGGAGGTGGTCAAAATATACCTAGCTTTATAGAAGTGAAACTTCTTTACGCACGCTTGAATTGGGGAGTAAGCTGGCGAACGCGTTACGAAAAGTGTGATCGGGCGAGGCGAATGGGAGTTGAGTGCGGATATGAGCAAGAGAGAGCAGCGCGCGCGCACATTTTCTTTCTCTCTTTCTCTTATAGCTAGGAAAATGAAATATGTATATGTACATATATCTATGAATTGTACACATACATATATACATACAGCTGGGGCTAAAGGAGTTTCACTGCAGTCGTGTGGTCATAAGAACACTCGTTTTTTATTATTCGCACCAAAGGTCTTAAATTAAATTGAAAATGTAACCGCCTTATTTGAAAGCAGACTAAACTTAAGCCTGGACTAAGACTGACGCTGTCACTTTAGTTTGCTAAAAAGATAGAGACAACAGTAGGTTTAAACCAAGACTAACTTTAGTCCGACTTTTGGAATAAACCTGTTAGGGTTCACACTTTTTAACCATTTTTTTGTTGTAAATTTTTCGTTACATCGTGTTGAACGCTGGACTTACTCGTTTATGGTAATAAGTTTATCGCTCTAAACTATATACAGAGAACGGACTGAGCCATTGCCTGTCAAACTGGGCTTCTAAGTGTGTAAGAGACGTAGCGATCCTGCGGCTAATAGTCCGTGTACATACTCGCTGCATTATCCCTTTTTTCTTTGTAGGGAGTTCTTAATATCATGAGAGTGTTGTTCAGTCCATTATCTCTGTCTATGTTTAAACATCATTGTATTTCTATTTGACTTTAAACAGTGTTTCTAGGTTATGTGTTTCTTATTAAAGTCCCTAATAACACTTAATCCGGCTCGAAGGATCATTCAGACGTTCTTTACCTCCTAAACGCCGTAAGCATCATATGATGCGCGCGGGTTGACCGTCAGCGACCGCTAGCATCATATGATGCTCGCCCGCTTAGCATCATATGATGCTCTCGACTCTCTTCCTTATAACTTCTGTTCTAAGACGTATTTTCGTATACGGTATAACACAGATAAGTTAAAGAGCTACTGACGTATATCCAATCACAGGACACACAGTGAATAAAGAGACCACAATCACAAGTGTCAACGCACGGTAAAATATTTCGCGCCATTTTGCTGTCAGTTGTGTTGTGCGCAGTTGTGTGTGTGCCGTGTTGTGAAAGTTTTTGTGTGGTTTTCAACGGATTTTTAACAAAAAAACGTAAGTTAAGTGTTTTATTTCTCTTATTTATAGTGTTTTTATTAGTTACAAACATTTAGAACAGTGTTCCGTGTCGTATTATTTACATAAAACATTTCACAATACGTTCGGTCGGTTACGTTGTATTACCGCGCTGTCAGAGGTTTTTCTATGAGTGATTATTACATGATATATTCATGAAAACCTATAAGAACCATACATTTTCTGAAAGATAATTTTATTAGGAATGTATTACAAATATGGTTTTTAAATTTTCGTCAAGTTTTATCAATAAATCGAGCTCCGAAACTTCGTTCGTACCGTATTACTTACAAAACTATAACAAAGGTTGGAATAGCTCAATAACAGTAATGATTATTTATCAGAGAATGTACAATTGTATATAATTTTGGATAATTGTTTAGCTTTATATCGTTATTCGACTAAAATCTGATTGCACGGATAAGTACTTTACAGTGCATCCTAATATGCGCTCTAATCTCATTGCAATAAAGTTTATTGACGATTTGCGAGTGCCGTTCGGAGTTCAATAGGTCATTAGGGTTCGAATGACGTCACGTCGACTCAACTGCGCACTTGATAAACAGAACGTATTGTTACGTTTTTTTTGTATGAGAAGCTTATTTGATTTTTATACCAATAGAAAGCTAATTTTATAGCCTATGCAATGGTGTTTTACAAAATAAATTTATATAATCACAAAATTCACAATCGCAAATCTAGCGCAACCTTAGTTTAGTACTAGATATTTTAGAGATTTGGAAAAAAGAAAGTAAATATATCGTCTTTAGACTGTACATAAATATTTTAAGTAAATCTAGATCGCTAGCAACAATATTATCATCACAGTAACATTTACAAGTTTACGCCGAGGGTAATTTATAAAACCGCGCGGGCGATAATTCAAACGCATACTTGTTATTTTTTTTATATGGGAACCTATTTATGTTTTGCTATTGTCTGAAAGGATTTTTCATCTAGTTTCTAAAAATATACATTTGATCAACGTTTTTTTTTCAACTTGTATCTAAGAATCACATTTTATTACAAGCAGGCGCATTATTCTAACAAAGGCCGCCTCGAACGACGATAAAAAAAACTAACACGTCATAAACATTTCAATTAGTCGTAAGTTGATAGCCTCATTCATATTCTTCCCAGAAATGTAACTCAAGTCCCTGTAAGTATAAACATTTGGTCATGAGAACAAAAAAAAGGCCTAAGTGTTTAGCGCAGCAAAAAACCGTGTCGGGTATCGGTGTAGGCGGTGCAGATTACGCGCGCAGCTGTCGCCCAAGGGTAATAGATAATTATATAATTTTTTCAACTTACCGTCTGTCCCGGCAAAGGTCGCAATTGTAAAGCGCGAGCGGCTTCCTCCAATTCGTCCAAATCTTCTTGTAAACTGCGCAATATTTCCGCAGCCGCGTCTAATTCTAAGCCTTTGCAGGAGATACGGGCTCGATTGACTGCAGATCTGCATGGAAGAACAATGGAAAAATTAGATATTAGTAAACTAAAGACATTTTAGCAGAAAAAATCTACTCGATTCAGGTTTGAACTTGGATTCGAATCAGCGACATTCGCTAGCCGAGCGAAAAGCGTTAAAATAAATATATATTAATAATGGTATAGTTTCTACCATGATTCTCTTAGCTTAACTAAATTTAACATCAGTATATCGTTTTCATTCTGTATAACGAATGACAAAGATAACACTGTTGTCAAGTTTAGGTATTGAGAATCATACCAGAATTGACACCAATATTAGAGATGGGCCGACTATGGTATTTGCCGACTAATCGACTAATCGGTTTTCGAATTGCCGACTATTCTGCAATGCCGACCATTCTAATACCTATCTTAGGAAGGTATTCGGAATATTTCGTCACTACTCGGCTTACTCACGCACCACACGAGTCTCCCAAATCTAGCCGAAATAATCACGTTCCAACATCACAATTTACCTCTAAGGCAAAAAATAACCTATGGACTTCTTTAAGATTCGCCAGCACTTAAGATTTTACTCCATTACTACATATATGTATACTTACTTCCCACTGCTATTTTGTTATGTGCGATATTAATTTTGTTAAGTTATCTGAATTACTGACAGATTCTTAAGTTCCTAATTCTTTTTGCGTTACCTTTTTTTTATATTTTAAGACTGTAGGTAACTTTAAATACATACTCTAGGTACTGTTTAAATATACAAAACAAGAGTAAGTTTTGAGTTTTATTTGATTGTTATGTGCAGATTATAATCGGCATGTTTTGCCAAATAGTCGTCTTTCCCGACTAGTCGGCAGCTAGTCGGCCCATCTCTAATATATATATAATCTCAGGATCTACTGAACCGATTTCGCAAAATCTTTCACCATTAGAAAACTACATTATTTCTGAGTTTTATAGGCTATAATTACCTCAATGTAGCCGCACTGGCGTTCATTCGCTGGGTATTATCAGCTAAATGTTTGGCAGCGGTCGCATCGTGTACTGTGGGCAACACAGCGCGGGCAGCACTCACTACTTGACCGCTAGACTGTTGGGGGAAAAGACATTTGCTATATTAAAACAAAGGCCCATACATAATGACTGAAGAATGACAATTAATTGTTGATCTTTACTGGAATACAGTTAGAAAGGGATGTCGCTATGTGCTATACATAGGGACATACCTTTCTAACTTCTTTTTTACTGTACATTTGTGTCGTTCGTTCGTTTGATCGTCGACCTTGTGATACTGATATTTTCATACAAAACAGCATGTCAAGCTAGTACTGAAAACCGCTCTCATGCCACAATTACATTTAATCATTAGATCGTATTCCGAACGAAAATACGAAAAACATTACTCGAATTCGGGCACCCGTCGTCAACACTTGGTCGTTTACCCGAATTCTATTGGCACTCGTATTCGGACTTACGACCAAGTGTAATCGAACGATTAGACTACGATCTTGAGATACTGTTTCCATACAAAACAGCATGTCAAGAAAGTACTCAAAACCGCTCTTATGCCGCAATTACATTAGGTCGTTAGATCGTATTCGGGTGCACGAAAGACATTACTTATAATACATAAATATTTTGTAATAAAAACTATCTTAAGCCTTTTAGTTACATACCTATAAGTTATATTCTTTTTGTTCTCCAATAACAATAAATAGGTCATATAATATATGTTAAAAGAATGCTTGAATGAATTAACATATATTATAGGAACTCATTTTATTTTTAAATACTTAGATCCGGAAGTGACGACCCTAATACCGGAATTTTGTTTAATTAATAATTTTGTTTATAACTCGTACATAACGAGGTTTTCGGTTACATTAAAAATACTGTACATAGGGACAACAAACTTCAATATTTTCATGTATAAATATTATCCGAATACACCGTTATTCTGAAGAAAAAAAATGAAAACGAAAGTTAAAAAAAAGGTCATCTATCGGTTTGATTTAGAAGGCCCAAATTTTGTGAAAAGATGTATAATACAAAGCTATATATAAACCTTTAACCAAAACTAAAACAATATGAATAATAGAGGAGCTAGATGTTTTTTTTAAAATTCCTAGTTCTTAAATAGGTCAACTTTGATTTTTTTTTCTCGAAAACTACGAGGCGTAGTAATTTTTCAGTATTTTTCCAGTGTTTATAATAGCTTAATTTATAGGAATTCGGGATAAAAAGGGCATGTCACAAAATCGAGGTTCTTAAAACACTGTGCGCCGAAGGTTTTCAAATGCCACGCGCTCTTTTTTTTCTTTTGCATTCGTAATAACAATGTTAAAGAAAATGAGCGCCCCCTAAGGCGATTGCCCCCCTGGTTTGCTATTTTAAAGTATTTTGAAGTGAAAACTTCTTTAGCGGCGTTGTATACTTTTTTTTTTGTATGGGTAAAAAATGTATAACTCGCTTCAGGTTAAACACGTGGGCTGATCGCATCGTGACACACAATAAAATTAGAAAGGTTGTTGACTTTCAATATATTGGACGAAACATAGTAACATTTTATTTTACCGTATTATAATAATAAGTCTCTATCTAGGACGTCCACGTGGCAGCTTTATTGCGAAGAAAATGCATTTTTTTACAATAGATGTCGCTAGGTGCGCTTAAATGTGATTCATGTAAGTTGATTTCTTTACAATAGATGTCGCTAAGTGCGCTTAAACGTGATTCATGTAAGTTGATTTTTCTGAGAGATAAACTTTTTTAATGTAATATAAATTGTCATGATTGTGTACGATAGCGCAATAAATAAATATTGTATTCTACCTCATACATGATAGTACTTTTATACTGATAATTAAAGCAATTCGTGCAAAATTATTCCCTAACCATTCCAAAATATCAAAAATGCACAACGTTAATATTCAAGTTTTCACTTCTGCCGGCACTCCCGGAGTGCAACCCGTCGTTTTTTTTCACATATCAGATATTGGTTTGACTACGGACGATATGCCAGAACGTAATTATTATCGTGTTGCTTACCTGCAGCAGATTATCAGAAGCCGTCAATAACGCGTGATGAGCGGCCGCGGCTTGAGGTCTAGAAGAGTATCCGGCCACAGCGTCCACTACGCGGGGGACGTGTTCAGAGAGAATGCGACACTCTTGGAGCAGAGTTTCCTAAGAAAGGGGGTTATATTATATTCATATATATATATAAATCTAAAGAAAACTGCTAGTTACATAAAAATTTCAATTGAAAGAAAAATAGAAGACAAAAAGCAGAAAGAATTTTCATGAAATGACCTTGGAGAAGAATATAGATTTACAATGGTCAGTGCATCCGCCCGGATAGCGGAGGGTGTGGGTTCGAGTCCCGTCTGCTGCCTGGTCCGCATGGATTTTTTCTAGTAAAACAATCTTAATAGTTTCTTATGAATGAAACAAAGTCATATTTTTCAAATAGCTCCATCTATCGACTTACCTGTGAATATTTATTCGTGTTATATTGCGTAGCGTTATGTGAAGATGTAATGAGTTGAGTAGCGCAAGCGGCCGCTTGTCGAGCGCTTTCCTGGAGACGAAGAATGGGCATTATTGTACGTGTCATAAGGTTACTTTCGGAATACTTAGAATCTCTTATCTATTAGACAAGTCCGTCCGTCCGTCTGTCTGTGGTGCTGTTTCAGCGGCCAAACCGTAAGAGATAGATAAATAGAATATTTAAGTTATAAGTTGAGAATAGTCTGATAAGACTACAAACCGGATTTGAGTAACGTAGCACTTCCGGTTTTCGAGAAATCACGAATTTCAAACGAAACCTCACAAAATCTCCGAAGTTCTCAATTAATTAAATACATTTTTTTTTAAATCAGGTTTTGGTGAACATTTGGTTCACTGGTATGCTAGTTTGTTATAATATATGTGCATGTAGATTAAATTCAGTGCAATGATTTTTGTCAACATTTGAAGTCGGTGCTAAATCAAGTATTGTAACGCGACTAAGATTTACACGAAAGGGGGTAATTTATTAGTGATTATAATAAAAATATTACAGAGATTTCAATTCGATGCAATTTTTGTTTTAATTCACCTCAAAAAAATAAGTAGCTAAATGTCGCAATAATATGCAATCTAGTTTTCAAGGCTAAATAAATAAAAAAAATCTTGTTCATTGCTTTTGGATATATGAAGAACGGTAGGAACTAAAGAATTAACGTAAATAGATAACTGAATATTCGGCCTGCTTCTTTAAACCTAAAATTTAATTTGACAACAGACTGTAGTCAATTTACTATGTTATAATAAGTATTTATCTGCTTGACTTATAAATGTAAAGATTTGTTATGTAGTAAAATTGTCTTTAGAATTTGTGTCAAATAAAATTTTAGGTTAAGAGAATCAAATCAGAACCCATTAATGATTAATAATCTTCACTAACCTGCAATCTGGCGACTTGAGAGCTCACTATGTCTTGTCCTTGAGCGTAATCAGCAGTGATATAACGCACTTCTTCAGCGGCGCGACGTAAAGCCTCTTGCTTTTCGCGATCCTGGTAACAAAACGTGTATTTCAGTATAGAATAAATTAAAAAACGGTGTTTATTACGTAGGAAATATAATTTTCAAGGGTCTCTTTTTCTCTTGTTGTATTAGTTGAAGATAAGAATTGAGAGAAGAGACTTAAAAATTAGTGAAATAGTAAACCGATACATAATGGACACGAATAGTAAACATATTTAAATTCAATATGTACTTTAGAGAAACATTATTTACAATTTTATAAAAACAGCACAAGTTCTCATGTTTAATCGTTTGTGCTATTTGTAAACTTGACAGAATTCTAATTTTTTTGACATTTCCTATAAAGCATGGTAAGGATACATTGCTGTTATGTTTACAAATAACAAAAACCGAATAGGCATGTGAAGTTCAAGCATCAAGGTCATTGAAGAAAGAGCTGCTAAAAGACAATCACTCACACGCAGTTAGGGTTACCATCCGTACGGATTAGTCCGGACATGTCCGGACTTTTAGACTATGGTCTGGACTTTGTCTGGATCTCTTAATTGTCGCATTTTTTTAAATTACTTTGAATATGAATCATAAATGTACATATTGATTTAAATACCATACCATTGTAAATAAATGAGTAATGGTACCATCTTGTGACTAAAAAGTCCGGACTTTTTTCGAATTTGTCAGGACTTGAAATTCCAAAATGGTAACCCTACACGCAGTAATATGCCGTAAAGCTATGTGCAAAAGGAACAAAATCCCATGTATGTAAAAATGTGGATATAAACCTGTGGTTCCGAAGCGCACTGGCGGGCAGCTTCGACCATTCTCGCTGTCGCATCCGCCAGTAGTTTGGCTGCGGCCAAAAGTTTGCGTTGAGCTTCTGAAGGTTGTCTTTCGGCTTCCGTCTGTGAAAAAAAAAAACGTACTTTGAAATTATTGTAGTACTTTGATAAATAGGTTTTCTATATAGAATTGTATTCTGTAAGTTATTTAGTTGGTATAAGTACAAGATGGGCTTAGGTTTAAACTAAATATTTGTCAATTTGGAATTCAATGGTTTTCGTGGGCCTGGGCCAGAATTTCAGTATAAATATCCACAGTTATACATGAAATGGATAATAACACATGTGTATTTTATTTCGCGTCTCAAGATGCCAAAAGAGTAATTATTATTATTGTACCATACTAAGCTGTGAGAACGAAAGAAATTAAACGGGTGGCCAGCCTTGTAGGATGAGCACAACAATTTACATTTTATCACCTTTTTTTATCGCGTCTAACTGTCAAACTCCATAGCAATTTGACAATTGAGTGTGATAAAAATGCGTTATATATCATATCGCGTTGATTATGCTAGGGGGGACGGGCCTATGCTTTTTTAAAACTTAATCATGACTACTCAAAATATAACTTGTTTTACGGTTTTGACACAACTTGTAGCATAAATGTCGCCCACACATCAAAATCTAGGCCTATTGATAATTAATATTGCAATATTTTATGACTGATAATATCAGTAATCAGGTGTCGTAGCCTTCTCCAACTTACTCATAGTAAAATGTCGCCGTCTTGCAGCCTAAGAAATACTTGATGAAATTAGACTCAGCCATTAAAGTCGAAAGAAATTATCAAGAAGCATAATTGGTTAATACGTCCGCTTTGGATAGCGAAAGGTGTGAATAGTGCGATTTTTTTGCAGGTAAAATTTTCTTTAGATTTATGAATATGAGGAGCTCGATGGCACAGGTGGTTAGCGCGTTCGGCTGCGATCGTTGAAGTAAAGCAACTTTCGCAGTGGTCGGTCATTGGATGGGTGACGTAAAATCTTCTATCTCGAGTTTCTCCGTGCTTCGGTAGGCATGTTAAGCCGTTGGTTCCGGCTGCATCTGCAGTCGTTAGCACCCGCCAATCCGCACTGGGCCCGCGTGGTGGGTCATGGACCAATCTCCCTATTCCATCCATAGGGAAGGCCTGTGCCCCAGCAGTGGGGACATTAATAGGCTGATATAAATAAATAAATATAAATGATGATGATGACCATATGAGGATGAATGAATGACACGTAGTTTATATAATAATACCTTTATATCAGTTATTAGGTGTGCCGTAGCCTGCCCCAACAATCTAGCGTGGCGGACCATTTCAGCCGCGTCACCGGCCGTAGAAACCCGTTCCGATGCCGACATTACAGTTTCTACGCTTCGTTCGGTAACTGTTACTCGACTGGCGTGACGTTCTAGAGAAATAAATTATTATAATTATAATCTGTGATGGAAAACACTTCTACTAAATAAAAAAAGAGTACTTTCTGGCACACGTTATATGGTAAAAGTTTTTTATGAAGAGACTCATTTCGTTCGTTCGGTAACTGCCACTCAATAGGGATGATGACTATTTTTTTTTCTTCGTTTATCAGGTTGATTATCAAAAAGTATTGGACACGTATTTTTTCTTTTTTCACATAATATAAACATTGCAGAGATACATTGATTTGAAAAGTCGCATGACGTCACGTTTTGGTACACTTTTAAGTGAAAATTCACTAAAAAGTGACGTCACGACCCCCCACTTCCAAACTTTGACGCGCTGTAACTTTGTCATTTTTTGGTTTATTGCCCAAAGAAAAAACACACTGTCCATACGTGTCCAATATTTTTTGATCATCTAACTGACGGACTAAATAGAATTTCGTTTACTGTACCCCGTCATCGCCCCTATTGGCGTGATGTTCTAGAGGAATAGTTCATTTTCTATTAGTAGTTCAAGGAAAATAAATAGGCTACTGCCTAAAAAACCGGTACTTTCAGGCACTATTACTCATACAAAAGTTTAAGAAGAGACTCATTCAGATGATGACATTACAGATTCCACGCTTCGTTCCGTTGCAGCGACTCGGTTGGTATAACATTCTAGATTATTAAATCATATAACATTAACAGAAGGAGGAAATACACTTTCTACTGTCTAAAAGAGGAGAGTTTTAGGCATTTTTTGCTGATATAAAAGAGAGAAATAGAGGGGATTTTCAGTGCATTGTAAGAATGTTCTTGAAATAAACAACATAAAAGAAATCTAATTTTAATATACTGGTAACAACTGATTTCATGTCAATGTCGTTACTCCAGTTAAATGCCGATAAGCTCCTTTAGTACGTTTTTCTTTTCAACTAAAGGTGTTCTAAACAGATAGATAGGGAAAAACTATTCAAAAGAGGTTGTAAAATATGTATCAAGTTCATCACGTGACCGAAAAAGACCAGGGATTAGCCAAGAGTAAAATGACGTCACACGCTATTAAACTTCTGGCCAAAGGGACATTACATTGTATCGTTCGACGTTTAAATGACAGTCGTGTGACGTCACACACTAGTGAGACGCCATAATGTCCAGAGAAAAGTTTTTGCGTCAACTTGAAAATTTAATTTTTAATTTTTTTTTCCACTGAAATACACAACAGAATAAAAAATATCCACTTTTGATGGACTCTTATAAACATTAGTAAATAACGTGAGGTCGTTTTATTAAACTTGCCAAATATCCTATTATGTTGCAAAACCACTCACCCGGGCTACAATGTGCCAGCAATCTATCCAGTTCGTCGGTGACTCGTTTGGCCGCCTCTGGGAGTTTGTGAGCGGCCGCCGCGGCAGGGGGAGCGGCATCTAGCAGTTTCTCTACAGCGTTGGATACCGCTCGAGATGCGCTTACTATTTGTTCGCGACAAGCGGCACTGTGGAGAGTTGGGGCTACGACCTAAACAATGGTAAAAAGCTTATAAAAATCTATACAGTCGCTCCCGATGTCTGTACGCTTAAAGCGGAATTACACGGTTCATATTGTTTTAAACTTTCATGGTCACTAACATTATAGCTACTAACGAGATTGTTACCATGTACCTTGTTTTTATGAGTCTCCGATATTTCGGCACTGTTGCAAGCGCCACGATAACGGAGTACCTGAAGTAATTGCGGGTAGATGCAATTCCGCCATAAAAAAAAAATATGGTAACAATCCCGTTAATAGCTATAATACAATTAATATAGTTGTCGAAATAAATATATTTACCTCTTTATGTTTAATAAATAGAAATAAAAACTTTCGCGTTATTAATATAATATTAGTAGGATTTAGAGTTACAATACAACAAGCTGTTATTAAAAAAAAGCCGAAATAAAAAAGAATGACATATTATCACTACCTGAGCTTAGAGTCACATCCAGTAGTACGCTACTAAATCTATGTTTTGTTTACCATCTCGCTTTTGTCATCGGTCGCTCGTGATCGATGTCTCATTGCAGAGTGGTGATGATTAACATTATTTTTTCTAAAACTACCTGCATAAACTGTATGAATATTGTAATGTGAATGTTGTATGTAATTTTCTTGCGAAACTGTGGTGTTTCTAGTGTTATTGAGTATGATTTGTTCTCTGTAAATTGTTTGCTAGAAAACTATTGTGATAGTCTCACCTAAGTGAATTTTATGTAAATTCTTGTGAGGTCAATAAATTCTTGAACCATATACATGGTTCATTTTTGCTTCCATTTTCGATGCTTCATCGATAAACGACCGAAAATGAAATGTCTAATTGACGTTTATCGGAATGTGCCTTCGCGATGAAAACTTCCGGTTCCCGATTGTTTTAACTAGCATCGATCACGCATCTGTCACCATTCATCGACAACGAACGACAAGTGAAACGTTTAAACAGCTCATTCACAGTAAATTTCTCGAACTGTCTCGGTATTTATTCTTTTACGTTTGATTAAATAACTCGAAACTTATGATGTTCACGCGGGAATTCCACAAGGAGTGGAATATTAGCTTTCATTTCAAAAGTGATGCGGCTATTCAAGCAATGCATTTCACTGTTCATCATTCACAAATCATTGCAAAAATGAATCACTGTTGATGAATTGTTTAATACCGCCTTTAGATCTTTTTCTCAAACATGCTTGGCAACTTAAGCATTATTTGACTATTTGTTATCAAGAAAAGGACAACAATACAGCTCAGCTGTGCGAACTCGGACGCGGACTCTCCGTTTCGCTCGCGCTGCGTTCAAGCGTACAGTTCTGTCTCGCTCGCTCGATTGAATGTTTATATACAGTCGTGAGCGTGTGACAGAGTTACTTATGTAGTTGAGTCGGAGCATATTTTCTTTGATGCTAGTATGAGCGTATCGTATCTTTTCTTTTTGTTTTAATCTAAGGGTCTTGGCCATAAGCACGAATTCATACACACATACACACGTTCGTGTGTATCAATGCCTCTTTTGGCTATTAAACTAAGTTTATTCATTCATTCGCATCTACTGTTTTGCGTCCTTCGATGCACATCAACAGTGAAAACGAATACAGTTATTCTACTTATATCTAGTGGCACAAAGTCCACATTACCTTAGCACAGGCGACTAGCTGGCTGGTAGCTAAAGCACAGTTGGTAGCGGCCGCGATAATGTTGTTCTGAAGCGGTTGTTCGTCTTTACACGCGGCAGCTACGTTCTTAGCCTTCAGTACTAAAGCCGCTGTTGTGTTAGCTACGGCCTTGGCTAGAGACAGCAGGATATCCTGTAGGAAGAATGAAGAAAAATGTTGCATTAAAATCAATTCAACAGATTGATAGAGAATTCGGTGTTTGTTGCAAATTAAGGGTATAGTTTTTGTACCAGATGAGTGACAAAGGTGTCGAACCTTAACTGAAATTTGGCAACAGTGTTTCCTGATCATTCTCTATACAGAACGAAGAGGAGAAACTGGTGTTAAATGTAGTTTTAAGTTTAGATAATCATGTCAGAATCGACACCAATGTTACCCTATTCCTAAGCATTAATAGTGTCGCGTGTGTATACTATCATGAACTGTGTTAGTAAGACTGACATAGAAGAACTGTTTATTTTTTATGCTGTTATAAGAATAATCAAATAATGTTAGTAAAATGTAGTCGTAGTATAAAGGCAAACAAAAACTGATCGGCATTTTATGCTCTATCATCACAATCGCTGTATTTCTATTGTAGTTAGTTATAAGAAGAATTAAATCTTGTATGATGGTACGGAATCCTCTATTTGCAAGTCAAACTCATACTTAGCTGGTTTATAGCAAATGTAACAAGGAAGCTTATTCTAGCCTTGATAAGCCGAATAGTGGTATCCCAAACAGTGTTAGGTTAGAGAAAATCGCCTTTATGTAAGTTGTTACAAAAAAGCGATTTTCTTTTTGTAACTCTGATTGAGATACTGCAGTAATATGAGCTGCTTATCCTAAGCGGCTCCTGAATCTTTAGGGCCTGAGCTGCGTTAAGCGGGAGCGCAAAGCGGATGTCCGTTCCGAGTTCACGCTTAACGCAGCGCGAGCCCTTTGACTTTCAGGTCTGTTTACTTTATCCTTTATCGCATGGAGCTCTAGAAACCTTACTTACCCACAAAAATACAGCACCACTCAAAGGAAGTGTTATTTCAGTGCGGTCTTCTATTAGGTACAGGAGCTCTATTTTTGAATTACTCGCCTTGCGTCGAACGCTCGATTTCTAGTAATTTTCATTCGACATAATTAATTCCGTATTTTTGAATCGCTCGACTTCTACGAGCGGTCTCGACCAGTCGTTGTGCGTTGGCGAACGATGGAGACGAAAGGTAGAATAATTTTCAAAATGTCAGATATATTCAAGATTTTTTCTCAATCTTTTTAAAATACAGATAAGATGACGAAGTTTTGATCTTTTCGTTTTGATCAAAAAAGGCAAAATATTAAATAACCAGTTTATTGAGTATTATACGTTTTTTTTCACAGCGGCCATGACTGCTCGTTATCTTTTTAAACGTCTTTTTTCCGTGTTAATAAAAATAAAAATGTTAACTGTAGATAAACGATCCAAAAATACGAAAAATCAGTATCACGCGACTTGAAAGTCGAAGGTGACTTATGTCGCATTCGACGATACCATGTCAGGCGAGTGATTCAAAAATAGAACTCATCACTTCCCAGGCGAGTGTTATCATTCGAGCGATAAATGCACTGTGCCTACCTAGCTTATTTTTAATGGCGCGATTTAATTTTGTCGTTAGCCCGAATTCGAGTGCCAATGGAGTTCGGACAAAATGCCATAAGGCATTCTCTACCAATCGACCAGTAACAGCCTGAGAAAGCAAAATACGCTACTATTATACTCTTATGCCGTATCAGTACCCCAAGCACGAACCTTGACCGCTCCGTATCCGTATCGCCAACGTCAGTGTCTATGGATTCCCATCGTCCCCACAGAACACAGAAAGTGGTTACAAGGGTGATCTTAGAGCGTTTGTACATGGGAACCGCTGTTGCCGACTCGCCCCCATTGCGCCTCCACCTAATAGATAATAGCCAATCAAACGAAGCGACATCAAACCATCGAACCAATTAGCGCTCACACCCGAGAGCATCGACGCAATCAAAATCAAGTTTTGATCAAATCATGAACATTTGCTTATACATAACTATGGCGCGCCTGCCCCGCCCACAAGGCCATTCTAATCTCTTTCTGTGTTCTGTGAGCGTCCCTGCCAGACGTAAGAACAATGTAGCTTTTTCCATACAAAACTTCTTACACATAGTGATACTTTCTCGCCAGTCATTCGTGCTTGTGGTACAGCTATCTTCGTATCTGCAATCCACTCACATTTAACATCAGATAGGGTAAAGTAATTTATTGCGTCTTGAATAAGGAAAAAGCGATCACCAATAGTCTTTAACCGTAGGCATGACATTACTCTAGAATAGCATAATTTGCACGATATAGACAAAAAAAGGTCGTAAGTTCTGTGAGCGCGGCATTCTGTGACAAAACACAATATTTATAGATCTTTGTCTTGTAGGTATGTATAGCTCAGTCGTTTTCCATTTCCGTGAATAAACAAGTCTTAACTACGAGTATTATGCATCCCTTGCGTTTCTTACAAAAGGCCTCTTCGAAACTGCTGCAAGTTTTCCAGTTAAGTAAATTTCCTATCTTCACGTCGTTTAAGTATCTTATTCAGTCTTTTTTTAACCAGTACGGGTTCGAATTCGAACTCAACATCATCTGTAATCTAGATGAAGGTTGTTCGGCTAGCGAGGTGTAGCTTACACCACTTTACCATTCTATGCTTGTTTAATTTTTATGCTCTGCCATATCTAGAAGAGATTAAGTCAATATACTACAAATATTATATACCTCGTTATTCATTACTAATACATATGAGAGAGACTGTAATGTTTGGAATCGTATAAATACTTCTTACATCACAATAATGACCTAGTGAAATACATATTTTGCGCTCTTATGAACCAAATGTGACACTTGGAACGCACCCAATTATTAACATATTCAATACTCTTTTTCGTCAATCGCCTTCTTACTTTCATTACCAAGAATAATCTTTACGCCTTTCACATTAAAGTGCATTATCCTTCAACAGCAATATACAGTGTCTACACATAAATAATATATATACAGGGTGTATTAGTAAATAGTGTTGCTATTTTTGTCACTACATTTACTTTTGTGGACAGTTAGTCGTAAATAAAAATTCCCATTTGTAAGAAAAAAAAGCAAATGTATTCACAAAAATAACACCAGCATGGCAGTATATGTAAATATTACTCCCCCTTATTCATAAACAAGGAATAAGCTTGGATTAGTTACGCCGAGTTTTGTTCATATCACTCAAATGCCATTTGTCATTCAATTAACAGACAAAACATGGAGTAACTAATCCAACCTTATTCCTATTTTATTAGTAAGGGGTTATATGTTTCTCAGAAGACATGAGCTAGGTTCAAACAAGTTTTCATCAAAACATTCGGTTAAGTAAAATACATCAAGATGCTACGAAGTTATTCGAATCTCTTTATGTTGCGAATTCTTTTGATTTAAACTTAGTTGAAATAATTTTGAACCTAGCCCAATTATCGACTAAATCTAAGAGTATGGTATAAGTACAATGACAAATGAAGAGTAGTAAAATATATTATGATAAATAAATTCATAAAACTAATTCCTATAACTCAATTTCAATATGATTTTTCACAGGCACAGATTAACATTTCATTCTCCTTGATGGCCATCAATGAGAACGCAATGTTTGTCTGTGTCATATTTGTAGATTGATGATGGCTATGAGTCATGCCGGCACTCCACTTCGCTATTTGTATCTTCTATTTAAAAATGTGACAACAGTCTGTCTTTATAATGCTCTATGAGTAGCTCTAATTAAAAAGACAGACTAATGTCAAATTTACATATAGCAAACACTAACAGTCAATTGAAGTGCCGGCATTAAATGAGAGACGCATTTTCAAGAGTATAGCGAGGTAGGTTATAAAAGTGTATGAAGAGAAACTACGCAAACGAGATATGTAAGTTATTGTGTAAATAGTTATTATTTTATGTAACTCGTCATTTTAAAACATCACTTTGAAACGCATATTATACTTTAAATATGTTAAATAGAGTTTTATTTTTTTCAAATATCAAGATTCACATTCGTTGTTTAAACTGATTTTAGTATAGGTAGACCGCTTAACCGAGTCCTCGCCTGCGCCTAAGTTCAACTTTCCATACAGAATTTGTTAGTCAAATTTTCACAAATTTTGTATAGGGGAGATGAACAGCAGAGCCATAACGGACGTAACGAAATCAGTACACATTTGACAATAACATTTCGCACTCGCAAACTATTGGAATTCGACATTAGTTCGTGCTAAGAGTACTGATCGTACTTTCTGGGCAGCTGGATGGCAAACGCTAACAAAGAAGAAATAAAACATAGAAGTACGCAATGACGTTACAGCGTACACTCCCAGAGACTAGAGAATAGACTTTCTTAACGAAGTATTACCCATCCAAAGAGTATTTGTGGCCTGTTGGCAAGTTGAATTTGACATAAGACCGCTTTTTAATTCGGTATCGTAAAGGTAACCAAGGTATCCACAATTCAAATAAAGGATTTGTATAGAAGTACACACGCTGTTCATAGTATCGGTATGGTTCACAGCAACATCTATTAGTTCTTTTTTGGTCTATATATAAAAGTAATATAATTGTATCGACTTTATGAGTTGAATTTAAACTCTAGTTGGTTTAGTTCTTTTTTCTGAGGGAACCGCTCAGTAGTTTTTCTGTCTATGTTCAGTTATTTATAAACGCTGATGAAGTAATACGCTATACAGTACCACCTCGCGAAACTCTTAATGAAAACGCAGTCTTTGAGAAGATTTTGATTTTGACATTTCCGAGTAAAAATATAAAGAACTGGAAACAACAAATAAAGATAACAAAAATAAAAGTATTTGAAGAGATTTTTAAATGTTACAGTAAAACTTAATCGTTGTTAATTTTTAAAGGTACTTTTTTATGTAAAATATATTATTTAAATAACTTAATCCGCAGAACAAAAAATATATGTATGGCAGACATTTTGTACTTTTATGTCACAGATTAGAAAACATTGTCAATGTATTATTAATGTTAGTTGTAATATAATTAATTTTTCACAGCTAAAACCCCGAACCCTATAAGCAGTAAGTCTCATATTATATATTTCAAAATAATA